ATAACGGTAGGCTTACTTTTATTTTTACTATCTGATCTCGTTTGCATGGCTCAATCACGTCCTGGTTGAAGTTCGTTCGCTACGCTCACTCACCTGTATGTTGGAGCTCGTTCGCTGCGCTCACTTTCCTTCAGGTTAGCTCGTTCGCTACGCTCACTTGCCTTCAGGTTAGCTCGTTCGCTACGCTCACTCGCCTCCAGGTTGCAAATTAGCTGTTGTCATAAATGTAAAAGAAATAATAGTGCTAGTGCTGCACCCTGTTGGTAATCCTTGTAACTTTAATGCTATTGAACATCACAGAACAGAACCAACTTGTTTAATTGAAACAGCTGTTAAGATTCAATAATTTCATTTCTCATAAGGTTAACATGGGCTTCCAGAAATTCCACGTCAAAAATCGACAAAAACTTGATTTTCAAGGGTTTACTGTTAAATATCTAACTGTCTCATATTCGATGAAATACGTCTAAAACCATCTCATATATGTATAGTATTTGGAAAATAAGTTTCAGGCGGGACAGTGCTATAGTTATTGAGGAGTAGTTGTAATAAAGTGCGTATTTTAGCGTTACCAAGAGAATGACAGATAGACAGACAGACAGACAGACAGACAGACAGACAGAAATTGAGATAAGGTTTGATTCGGTTTCTCTGACCTATGAAATGTAAAAATAACCAAAAAGTTCATTATTCTAAACAATGTACAGACAAAACTCTAATTTTATTTATATAGATGGATGTGGGAGCCAAGTCTCCAGTGATTAAATATTCAAAAGTCTTTAAAATTAACATTCACAACATATAGAAATATTGATTATAAAGAGACATTAAGAAAGAAGATAGTAACTTAATTCAACAGAAATTGGTGATATCAAACTCAATAAACATTTTAAAACCCATCATTAATTTCCAACCACCATCACACCATTGTGAATAGCCTTAAATTCAAGTGACTGTTTCAAACTAAGAACTTCTAGCCTACATTTTTGACTCTCATTATTATCTCATATTATTTAGCCTACATTAGTATAAATTAAGTTAATTAGCCTATCAGAATTTCATACCCGGCATGAACCAACCCCTAGATTAAGATCATTGTTCTCAAAATTGTTATTTAGCCCATCTATAAAAACCTAGACCAAAATATAATTTAACTGTCATAGCCCCATGAGATTGTTGTAATATAAGCTATAGAACCTAAATACATCTTATTGTAACTTTATTGGAATTTTTATTATCTCGTTTAAGTAAATTCTTATTTATAAAATCCATTAATAAAGTGAAGTAGGTTGCACACTATGATATAGTAAGAAGAATGATTAACACTTCTAATTGAATGGAGTGTTATTGTCTGAAGAACAAATATTGCTTTGCTGCAGACAATTTGGACTAGTCCCAGAAAGTCACCGAGCCAAGACAGCTAATGAAAAGTAATCTGTTGCCACTCAACACCTGAGGTTCATGACTTTTCATTTAATCGACAGACACTTCCTTGACATAGAAAGTTTGGACTTGGGTAGTGTCTTGCACATTACTGATTCCGGTTTTAAATATTGATGAGCAATAGAAATAATCAGATATACATTACATTTCTATGAACAAAAATTAGATATTTATTTCAACTAATCCCTTATGGCCCAAGAACCTCGATGTGAATATTTCTCTCACTGAAATTGCCTGGACAAACATTAAAACTGGCTTGGACCAGATTCATAAGCTGGATTAAAACAGAAATGTTAGCTAGTGCGTTAAACATGATTATTTTCGTGTTTGTAATGTAAATTCAAAACATGTTACTGTGTTTATTCACTTGTTCATTGCATGTAAGCTGTAAAATGTAAACTAAATTTATTAACTTTAATTTACCATATTTAGGTACTTCAAATGTAGTCATGCCTTTCAAATGTAAATTTTTGTTCACCAAACCATTTTGCTACTAAATATTGTGGTGTAAGCTCGTTCATTCAAAACCATTTGTTGAAAACTGATTGTATTACCATTGACTATAAAAACTCCTGGGTTTCTTTATTACGAAACTCAATGTAGAATGAATAAACAGACTTCTTTCGTTCTATTTGATAGTTTCAATCGTCTGTGTGGTTCTTAGTTCAAAATAGTAAAGAGGTTTCTATCAAATAATGCATAACGGAATTGTTCGAAATGTAAATACAGTATTCTGACTACATATTTAAATGGGAGACCAATCAATAAAATAATGCCAATAAGCTTGACATGGTCCCGAAAGCCTGGGTGGCAAAACATTGGAGATTATATAAGATCTGGTATAATACAGAAAACTCCCAGACTTATACAGAACTACGTTATAAAGTTGGCGATCAGATATAACAAGGGGTCGAAGCACTAAACAAGACTAGGGTTTGGACCGTTCCCTTGGGATAAACTAAAAATGCCAATGGTGTGGAATAAAAAAAAATGACTATAAATTACTCAACAATTCTTATAAATCGCTCGCTAAAAGGCAAATAAAATAGAAAGATAAGCCCAGACTATAAAATTGGTCACACGTAGCGTATTAGGTTCCCTTCTAAAGATTATTGATAACCATTAGGATTCAAGTAATGTAAAGCGTGCAGCATCGTTAGAATTAATTTCAAGCTAGAAATCCGACCCTAGTATGGACCAACGGCCGTTAGCCCGTTGCGTGGCCCATTCACTGCCATTTGTACATTCACATTTCCTGCCTCCTAAATTGTAACTGGATACCGTAGCCTTACAGATGTCTTTAACAGTTTAGCTCTTCAATTTACTACTAAATTTAATACAGATGTTGTTGGCAAACATAAAAATTAACTGTATGTTTTATTATGTTTCCAAACAATTGACTATTTTTAATATTTTTATTATCTGTGAATGTGAAAAGAAATTGTCATCATTCCTTCGTTCCTTTGCTTTAACAGGGTTATCCCCCAAACCATTTTGTAGAGCTTAAAAAACTATACAATTTTGTATTTAAAGCGTTGTTGTATGCCTAACGGTTACGGAGATAATAAAAAAAATGTAAATTACAAATTCCCATGTTATTCTTATGGAGAATAAATAAAAACTGTTGTAGTTTCCTTGTTTTTGGATATATTTTAATCAAATTTTGCCATCTTATTTATTTCACAATAACAATATCAACATTTCGACAGCATTCCCTGTAGCAGCAAACCTAAGTACTCATTAAAATTAATGTTATTTAAATAGGAATTAAATCTGACACTTTTAAGGGAATATTTTCGTAGAAATCCAGCCAGTTAAATGGATATTCGCTTAGTCTGCAGGTTGGCTGCGGCGGGGGTATTTTATTTTTATCACGTGAAAAGGAAATTGTCAACATTCATAAGTTCCTTTGCTTTAACAGGGTTATCCAACTTTTATCGTCCTTTCGCAGTAACTAACTACTGTATGTTTGGAATGTTACAGGTCTATGTAATAAATTTATTTATTTATGTTAAAGTTATGTAAAAGGTCTGTTTTTTATGGTAACAATCATATTTTAGATTAGGACAACCATGCTGATGTTTTGTTCATGTTTCTTGACTTGTCTTTTCATAAAACGACCACACTTAAAGTTATGCTTTAAGTTGCTCTTTCTCTCTTTGAATTTATTAAAATATCTTAAGTTGAATGAAATAGTGTGTCGTGAATCAGAAATGTTCAGAAGTGTGCAGAACTGTTTAAAAAATAAATTTTAATTGTTGTCAAGAAACCCCAAATTAAAGTTCCAGGAAAATGAAAAATTTTTAATGTGAAAATAACAGGGTGGTAGTAAACTTGAGTAGTACTAAAAATAACGTGAGTTAAGGGATTAATAATTCATGCAATAAATACAGCAGCTCCTGCAATATTAACTCCAATCGCCATCGTTTCTGTTTTACATGAAAATTACTAGTTTTTCTAAAAATACACGATCATAAAAATCTGAATTTAATAGTGTGACATTTGAACAGCATGATTACAATTTCTATTTAACATTTTGTTAATTGCTATAAAAATATGAATACATTATCTATCACCTTGTTTTTATACTTTTGTGCTCATTAGCTTACACTGTTCAGCTGTTGCAGAATAATTAACTAACTACATAAGTTCTGGTTGATTGTTGGTTGAAGACATATTTTTAACATTCTTGTTTGGTCAAATTCTTACAAGGTTTAAAAGTAAATCCTAATAAATGAAACTTATTACGTCATAAAATTGTTTACTATTTTTCTTTGTAAAACGCCGGAGTCATGTCATCTCTCACTCTCCTCCACCATCATGGTCTGTCTGACACATACAATGTTGTCTGATAGTGTTATATTGTTGTAGGTGTAAGAGCCATGCAGCACCATTGTCATGTTTGCTTGTCTGAGACCAGCTCTGATGTAGAGATAGAACGTGTGTTCCCTGGAGCCAAACTGGAGTCTTGTCATCTCTCCTCCACCATCATGGTCTGTCTGACACATACAGTGTTGTCTGATAGTGTTATTTTGTTGTAGGTGTAAGAGCCATGCAGCACCATTGTCATGTTTGCTTGTCTGAGACCAGCTCTGATGTAGAGATAGAACGTGTGTTCCCTGGAGCCAAACTGGAGTCTTGTCATCTCTCCTCCACCATCATGGTCTGTCTGACACATACAGTGTTGTCTGATAGTGTTATTTTGTTGTAGGTGTAAGAGCCATGCAGCACCATTGTCATGTTTGCTTGTCTGAGACCAGCTCTGATGTAGAGATAGAACGTGTGTTCCCTGGAGCCAAACTGGAGTCTTGTCATCTCTCCTCCACCATCATGGTCTGTCTGACACATACAGTGTTGTCTGATAGTGTTATTTTGTTGTAGGTGTAAGAGCCATGCAGCACCATTGTCATGTTTGCTTGTCTGAGACCAGCTCTGATGTAGAGATAGAACGTGTGTTCCCTGGAGCCAAACTGGAGTCTTGTCACCTCTCCTCCACCATCATGGTCTGCCCTGACACATACAAGGTTGTCTGATAGCCTAGTGTTATATTGTTGTAGGTGTAAGAGCCATGCAGCACCATTGTCATGTGTGCTTGTCTGAGACCAGCTCTGATGTAGAGATAGAACGTGTGTTCCCTGGAGCCAAACTGGAGTCTTGTCATCTCTCCTCCACCATCATGGTCTGTCCTGACACATACAAAGGATGTCTTACACAGAGCAAAGGTGAAGAAGTTTAAGAGAATATTGTGAGACTAAGAGAAGAATATTGTAAACTTTTATAACACAGAAATTTAAAGTGATTTTTATAGTTTTGTACTTTAACCAACTTTCCTCAATAATTATTAGCCCTCTCATCCAATTAATTATGCTCTGATAAAGCCTTCACTAACCCTTCTCCTTCAACGCCCTGGGTTGTCTTTGTGCCAGACAGTCACTTGATAAATCAATCAACATACGATTTTTTTAATGTTAAGACATAGCCTACCGTCTTAACATACCGTATTTACAGAATATTGTTTTTTGTGCCTTTAATTTTCAGTTACCTGGAAAGATATTTCCTGAAGGATCCTAAAAACCCTGAATACAAACTAAAAAGAACACAACGTAAATTTGATCTTCTTTAGCATAATATTTAATCCCCGTCCTTTTTTAAATATTTTCCATGTGTTTTCGCAGGAGACCAAGTAATGCGCACCTGTGCCCAACTGGCAGTGGATGCTTGCCGGTGGGCCAACGGCGTAGAGTACTGCTACTGTATGGGCAACCTTTGCAACACACCGCCTCCTAGACCTCCTACCTCGGACGACGAAGATCTTGAGGAGAATACAGAAGGCAGTGGCGCACACAGCGACACCCCCGACATGATTGAATCGTCGACTTCAACAACAACTGACAAAATACCAACAATTTCGTCTAGAGCAGTGGTCACTGAATCATCTGTTGTTTATCTGACGATTTCACTTATTGTTTCTGTGTGGAGGTAATTGCGAGAAAGATTCACTAAGTTAAACTGTGATAAATAAGATTAGGTTGTGTTTAGATTGGTATTGTGGGTGAAAAACTCTTGATTGATTTTGAGTGAAGCAGGGTTGCCGACCTTTGATTTAGGGAAAATCAGGACGATCACCCCTTCCCCGCTGTATTAACATGGACATAAGCACGGGCACAAGGGACTAAAATCGGGACTGTCCTGACAGAATCGGGACGGGTGGCAACGCTGGAAATGGCTGGAGTGAAGGGAAGACCGATACAATTCTCCTCCCAACACTGCGAAATGTAACCAGTATCATAGGAAAGAGGTTGCGGTATTTAAATTTTGCATAAAGCCAAAATTAATAATTATTGATTAAAATTTATTTATTTACTTGAAAATTAGATTAATGGTGATACAACACCATTCACAGAACAAGACTATTTAACTCTTAAACACTGTAAAACAGTTTTCAAAATAGAACTTCATTATTGTTAACAAATTTTCATTTGAAAATGCTAAACTGAGTCTATTTCATAATTATTGAGAAAATGTTTGAACGAAAGAAATGTTATGAAAGTTGATTAAACTAATCTAAAGTTTCAAAAATGAAGAGATCCACTATTGTAAATATTTTTATTGTTAACTTGCATTGAAGTCCATGTACTTTTTTTATACATCCATTTGTGATTTGGAACAAAAACAAGTAGTAAGCATATTTAAAGAAAATAACAATACGCAAAATGAAATCGGTGCAATAAAATAAGAATTAAGTGTTTTAGTTTTAAGTAAGTGTAGTATCCAATTGATTATACATAAACAATTTATAATATTCTACTGAAAAATTTCCTACAAGTAGAGTTAACTGGATAGGTAGCTTATAGTAGAGTTTTTCAATGGTTTGTAAGATACAAATATTTTACATATCTGTACTCTTAAATATTTATTGATGTCTAGTCCTAACTAATAGCTTTAAAATAGTTGATTAATTTTTAAAAATATGAAGAAGTGATAATCAGTTGGAAATAGATGTATTTTATAGTTTGAAATACCAAGTTATCAAGTTTTAGCACCAAACAAATTATATCCTTCTTCATAAAAAGCTATATACCATTTCTGGTCAAAATGCTTGCAGCAATTATGCCGAATCACAAAGGTCCATAGCCTACAACATGTGAATCACAATTGTAGGAAGATAAATAGAAACATTCCAAAGGCTAATAATTAATTATTGTTGTTGCAAAAATCGGTTACATCTTCCTAGGTTAAATCCAACTAATATAGATTATATTAAGTTATATTAGTACCATTAAATGTATATTGTTGTTGTTATAATAAAGGTTTTTTTAGTATTTTTTAAAGATACCAAAAACATGAGAAAGATTTTGTTCAAATAAATAATAACCATTATACCACTAAAACAATGTAGTTTTTGCCAAACACAATTTAATTTAGGAATTTATAACTGGAATACCGGAGGAGTAAAATGGTATGCGCAGCTACAAAATTAAATTGGAAAAAAACATACCGTACTACAAATTTAAGGGATAGTTAAAAAATTATCTGATTAACAAACTTATTTTACCTATATCTGCAGATTCCCATAAGAGGGAATTTCAACTTACATAAATGTTTTTTTTCCGTTGTAAAATATTTGTTTTGCAACTAATTATTTTTCAAGACAAAGTTGTATTTTGAAATCTATAATATCTTATTGGAACAGTCATTATTCACTTAGGATGAGAAGCTTACTTTTGCCGATGTCTTTTTAAACCAAAACCTTTGAAAGTGAACAGTCCAAACAAGATTGGACAATGTCAATATAGGCAGAGTATCTGCATACCACAGGCTGAAACGTCTGTTGTGCGTGGGTCCGCAATGTAAACATTTGCCACCAAGTCTCACATCACTGGATACATATTTTGCCAATTTATAATCCTCTAAACTCAAATTAGCTTTATATTTTTAGAGTTGAAGAATGTAAATTGAGAGTTAAAATAGAAGAGTGTAACTCTGTATTTATAGAGAGCTTAAAATTAACCATTCGTTACTTCTAAGTAGGTGTACGAGTAATAAATTGTCCTAGCACTTCAGGCTTGGGAATATTGCAAGATTAATGAAGAGTTGAAAATATGTTGAGTGAAAATTGTTGTAAGTGTCAACAACTAATGAGAGGTAAATAACTTGGTTATATGATTCACTTTGAATAGTACAACGGAGTAAAGTTTGAGTCTTTTATTTTTAAACCTGATCGGTGGTTCTGAATCGTGTTCAGAGAAACTATAGCAAGATGCTGTTTTATCCCTGGCTTTCTTTCAGTTTCTAAACATGGCTCTAGTACACTTCAGGTGCATATTACTTTAAAAGTACTAGAATGAGTTTTTTTAGATATTTTTGAACCAAACCCATACTCATATCTTTTACATCACATAACACTTTGCTTGCTATACATAGTAGAATATTTTTGTCTTAAAAAAAAAGTTTGTAATGTGACCATATATTATAGGTCGGCCGCTTAGAAAACGACCTCCTCCAGCATTGGTTTAGCATTAGCGCGCAGGTTGTTTTCTAAGCGGCCGAACTATAGTAAGTATTTGAGAAGTAATAGTATATTTCATTACTAGTACCGAAAGTGGTATTTTCTGGTGCAAGCTCAAGAATTTTCATGACGTGAGGACACAGGAACACCAAATTTTACGTGAGGGGAAGCCAAGCATGTGAGAGTTTGCACACAAGGTGTAGCCAAGGACAAGAATAATCGGAGCAAGAGCCGTAAAATCACTTTTGGTACAAGTTACGAATTTTAATTTTCAACGCGACACAAACATGCTCACATACTGAATAACAGACCATAGAAAAATTCAAACTTATATTTTTTAACTAACATTATGTTGATATAAATATAAAAAACTAATGGGTGACAAGAAAAACTACACAATAACATAAAAATTAGAAGTGCAATGTTATTTTTACTGTGCAGTGCACTACAAGCAAAATACACAGCGAAACCTTTAGTAGCTTAATGCCTATTTCTGTTTAATTGTGTATTGCCCAATAGTAAAAACAGCTGATTTAAATTATGAAAATAAGAAACACTAGTGCACTTAGTGGGCAAATCGATAACTGTTTGAGAGCAAGGGAAAGTAAATTTAGAGAAAGGAAAAATTAGCTGCAGTGGTTTTCCCCTTGCTCTAAATTAGAGCTTGGGGAAACAGTTATTTTCTTCGGTATCAGCTTTAATTGAAAAAAATCTGCCTTTCTCGGAGTCGGAGTGATGAAAAAATATATTACAAAGACAATGTCACGACTGAGAATTGTTACAATGCACTCTAAACGATAAGCTACACCAAAAATAGTCTATGCCGCTACAGGTGTGGGACTAACTGCTCATTCCAACTTACTCTTTATCAAACTTAAAATCAATTCTTCATTATTTGAAGTAAAAAAACATATTGTAAACTAAAGAATAGTTATTTGTTTACCCTTTGTTGTACCCTTAGTGAGCAAAGGGAGCAATTGACTCACTCGAGAGAAATACTTACTCACAAGCCGTAGGCGAGTGAGGAATGGTTTCTCGAGTGAGGCAATTGCACTTTGCACTCGAGTTGCACATTATATTTTTCCTACAGTTACTATAAAACAAATAAATTGGTAAAGAAACGTGACATATTTTTACACAGAAGTGAACTTTTCATATGACATTTAATGATACAACAGTACTACAGGTGACCAGCTGATTTACAGCCAGTGCTGCCAACGTATTTTGCGCGCATACGACCTTGTCTGCATGTTACCCGCTCACTATTTCGTGCCTTCACGTTGCAAATCTGGAGTGAGTGAGACAAAGTAATTCATTGATGAGCGAATTGGCCACTTTGCTTTCTCAAATCAGTGAGAGAACATGTGCATTGTTAGGTAACTGTAGGAAAATGTATTTGAGAAGTGAATTTCAAAATAACTAACTACAACAATTACAACAAAAAATAACTCAACTTTAATATATATACAAAATGTACAATTATATATACAATCAAATATATAAATGATTTTAAACCATAAACTGACATGATCTAAATAATATCCAGCATGCCCTTGAGTCTTTTCTTATTCTTTTCCTCAGTCTGGGATTTCAGATAACTTATTCCCGCTGATATGGAGTCAGCAAGTTGGGGTTTTATTAGTGAATTATGTATGTTCTTTTTGTCAGCGTCAATGTAATATGACATTGATGGTGGGGGAGCGATTTCCGCAAACTTCCGTTTGTTACTTTTCCATTTACTTGTGTTTGGTTTGCTTTTTTTGGACGATTCCATTTCCTCATCGCTGTCCACTTCTAGTAGATTGACAATAGGTTTGACCACTGTGTCTGAACTTTCATGCTCGTTAAATGATGCATGACTTGTATAGGAGCTTTCTTGATTCACCTTCATTGAACACATTGAAGTATTATTATAAGATTTTTTTAATTGTTTGGAATTTGTGTAAGATATATTTAAAAATTCATCTTTTGACAATACAGATGGTTGTTTTGTCGGTTTTATCAAACCTGTTTCATCATGAGACGAATTTAAATCCCTTTCTTCTTCCTCTAAAGTTGAGACAAAATTAGCAGCTCTACTTTTGGACAAAAGTCTATCTATATCTGAGATAGTTGGTTTCCATGCTTGATTCGAGACTTCTGAGGTGGTCTCACTTCTTCGTTCTGAAGTAATATCACTGTTTAATGCCGTTGAAAACTGTGGTGCTGTGATATTATTCGTTTCATTTGACAAAACTGTATCATTTCTTGTAATATTTTGCCAATCCTGCACAGATGGACCAAAACATTCTTCCTCGTCTTCTTCCACTTCTTCAACTTTGTCTTTTTTACCCTTTTTCCTTTTTGACTTTTTATGCTTCTTCGACTTTTCACTTGTCACTAGTTGCTGTTTTACCTTTTTAGATGTAAAAACATTCGGATTGGATTTCCACTTTTGTTCAGGGTTTACCTCGATATTTTCTGTTTGTAGAAGACTAGTCGGAGGTGCGAACTCATCAGGCCTCTCTTGTCGTTTTTTCTCAATCCACTCCTCTTGAGACATGACTGTAAAAGATGGTTACAATTACAAAAAGAAAGGTTGTCAAATAAAATAAATCGATTTTTTCTTCAGCCTAATAACTTCCTGCATATGAAGATGTCATATAGTTCTATGATATTGATATGTCAGTTTGATATATTGTTTTGTGACATATTAATGTAAAGCTATTAGCCACTGGACTCAATATTTTTTCAGGCAAGTCAACTGTACTATATCCCTTAAAAAAAAAAACAATAAAGTAAAGAAGAATAAAGTAAAGGTTAGGTTAAAGGATAAGTTCACGTTTTTTCATATTTTCTTGTTTCAGTAACTATGTATACGTGTACACATTTCAAAATAAAAATTTGAACTAATTGAATTACAGAGCATAAGGCAACTAATTCACAAGTTTAATTACGTCCAAAACCAACTAAAAAAAAATGAAAATATCCTAAACTAAATAGGAGTATGATGATGATTTATCTTTAACATTATGCTTTATTATAAAACCATTTTTGCAACCATACGTATATTTTAATTTTCATCCGTATGAGTTACTGAATACTACTAAATGTATTCTAGTATTACAAATTTTCTATGCAGTACTTCAACACTAAATAGCAAGGACAAAACAGCAATAAAATCATTGCAGATAAAACCGCACTGAATAAGCTGGTTGTGACTTGTTTGTGTACGAGGCTATATACTAAGGGATGTGTTCGTAAGTTATTTAAAGACGGCCAAGCCCTCTGAAGTCCGAACCGAAAGGATACAAACAAGAGGGAGACAAAAGCACATCCAAGACAAGTGCTTACCAGGCGCTACTCCATTTTTCCCGATGTCCCAAGGTCGAACAGGTGCAATCTTCTTAACGGATTCTTCTAAGTCAACAATACTTTCCTCTTCACCAGTCTTCTTTGGCTCTTCCGCTACTGCAGGCGTTTCAATTTCTGAAATAAGTGAAATTAGATATCATCTGGTTGATAGGTTTGGATAAAGTGAAACACAGATTTAGAATTTGAAAACAACTTTGAAGTAAGCTATTGTATTTTTAAATAGTAGAATAATGACGTTTGCTACACAATGTAAAAATTGTCAAAAGCGATAAAGGACACTCATCCAGCACAGGTCTGTCAGTTGCTGGACTGTGACAGAACTGTGACCGGACTGATGTGTGTATAGACCTTTTTCCTCAACAAATGTGAAGGATGTCTATAATAACCAAAAGGGTCGATTAGATTAAAGAACATTTAATTTTACTCTTAATATGTTTTCAGGATTTCAGTTATTTACCTATGTAGGACATTATCGCTGTTTTACAGCATGGAGAGTTATGGAGGACGCAAGTAAATTAACAACTACTGACAAAAATTACTGAAAAGAAAATTGACTGAGAAAATTAAAAATACATTAAGGGCTGTTAACAATTGTGAATACAGCTTTCATCATTCTTAACCACACATATAAGTATAAATTAATATATTTCTTAGACCTACGTAACTAAAAATGAAATACTAAATTTTCAACTTTTAATTTAACTTGGTATCAAATTGGTGTATTTAAGAGATTTTAGCAATTTACATCAGTGCAACTTTTAAAGATGAGAATGGAATGTATAGTAATATGCATAGTCTAGACAACTAGGTCAATATTATTAAATATTATTACAATTAAAATTAAATAAATGTATTTTAGCCTCAGCTAAATCATAAATTAAGGAAACTAACTGCAAGTAGCCTTTCCATCCTATAATCAAAATGAAAGGGGATGAATGGGGATATTGGTTAATTGAAGGCTACTGACAAAAAGAGACTCTCAAAACAAAATAATATTGTCATTAGTAAACTCTACTGACCATGAGGTGGAGACTCTGGTGGTAGCCCGAGTCGTTCCCGTCGTCTGCGTCGCGCAGCTGCCAGCCTAGCTTGCAGCTGTTGCTCCCTGCGTGCCCGCAGCCCTTGTGCAGCTTCCTGCTGTTGCTGTGTCTGTGTACGCAGCTTCTGCAGCTCCTCCTGCTGCTTAGCACGCTCCGCTTCATCCGTTGAGAACTCAAAGTAGCCCACACCATGTGGTCGGGCCTCTGAAAATGTGAGAGAGATAAATTATAACTATTATCTAATAACATGGAATTTTAAACCGTAAAGTCAATCCTAGACTGATCAAAAACACTTTTTTTAATATTAGAACATTATAATTCTACATTGATCACCCCTATACAGAGAAACTTGGGTAGTTCTAAGGCCAAGGGATGGGTAAAATAATTCTAATATTTAAAAATATCTAATTAGATAATTTTGGTAAAAAAGGGCCTGCAAAGGGAACAAACCAACCTTTAGATAAGCCTAATGCTGTAAGATATAGCTGAGATGTTCTACAAGAGAAGCGATTGAAGTTGCTAGGGTAGAGTAGGGAAGTTGCCCTCTCCCAAAAAAGATTCTTAAGCTAATACTGACATATGAAATGGTTATAAATTTAAAGAAAACCAAAAATATTAGAGCTCAGGAAACGGAAAAGAACTTCATTGTTATATTGACTATCGAGTAAATGTAATGTACTTTAAACTTAACTCACCGTCAAATAGCACATCCTGGTAGTGGATATCCTTCTTGCCCAGAAGCTGAGCTTCTTGTTCCTCCCACTTGAGTCTCATCATCTCACGTTGCATGTCCCACGACAGTAGCTCCGGCGTGGGCGTGGGAGCTGGGGTAGTGTCAGGAGGAGGTGAGGGGGGACGAATGGTCGCAGCCAATTTGGCGTCTTTCGCTTTCATTTGTGGAAGATCCTTCCTCAAACAGCGGCGTGATCGACCCAGAGTGTCCACAAAGTCCACCCTTAATTTATAAAGAATTATTAGTAGGTACCCGTTAGTACTTAGAAATAATTGACTTTTGGTTACTAAAACATGGAAACTATATGGACATTGTTGAAAGAGACACTCACAAAGTGTGCTAAAAATCTAATATTTGATTTTCTACCTTAACATTTATCACCAAGAAAGTTGGCGTCACAAAATAAGCTTTAACTAGCTGAGAATAAATTGTCCTTTTATTTTGTTATATTTGTTAATTTTATTTTATTGTGTTAAAATGTTTGCTGCAGTTGAGCGAGTGCCGGCCACTGCCAAGAGCGGAAACAGCCAATGTGCTGCGTGGATGAGTGCGCAAAATTGTTTAAATTTAGTTTCATCCAATATAAGAGGCATATTATAGCGCTTGTACTGTGTTTCAGTCGTGGACATAGTTTTACAAGAACCCAACAGATAGCAGTACTAAACAAAACTGCTAGCAGGCCCTCAGTATTGCCAAATGGAGGGAACAATCAGGGACAAAAAATCCTGGGTACACCATAAAAAAATATTGCAAAATAGGCGTCAAGCACAATTTTGAGATTAGGTTCCATCCCCAATTCTTCACTACAGTAATTATTATCATTATTCTATTCCATTTCACTAAATCCAAGCCAAAACCCCTCACTATACACTAAACCAAAGCCAACAAACATGTTATTCCACCCGCACATTTTTTTTTTTATAAATGAGGTTGGCAGCCTCTTTTTACCTAATCTTTTCTTCTACAGAACTATGTGATTCTTGAATTGAACTGTACTGATAAAAAGTAGTGGCGGACACCACGATTCAAACCCACGACATCACTGCCATGGATTCAAGTTCGTCACGCTACGATTAAACCACTGACTCACCACCTGTTTTCATTCATTATTAACTAAATATAAACAAAATGTGTACCCATTTGTTATAAAACAATAACAGATCCTGTCCTGTACTTATACGTACCAGTCATTTTCTGGATCAGAATTAGAATCGGAATAGTCCTCTTCGTTTTCTGATTTGTTGGCTCCTTTTTGAACATCGTCAAACTTTTCCTCATTGTCAATTTCACGCTTCAAATCAAAATCTATCAAATATTTTGATTTTGTCAGTTCATCTGTGGAGTTTCCCTTCAGTCTATTGTAAAGGCGAGCTTTTGCTTCCAACACTTCCCTGAAAATAAATAATAGAGGTAAATAAATACTCATACTGGCCATGGAAGACTTTCCTGTTGTCAGAGAATTAAAATTTCCTACGTGTCAGGGTTTAATCTATGGTTTCATTTGTTAGCATTTTGCTGAATTCTCTGAGAAATTTCTTAATAGTATTTAGACCACATACGAAAGATTAAAGCTAGCCAAAGAAATTATTTCCATACTAAACCGCTACTTAAGCTTCATCTTCTCATATTTGACAAAAGAAGCAATTTCACAATTAAAGATGTTATAATTACTGTTACCATGAGTTGAGGATACCCCCTTGGGTGTGTATTTTAACCAAAATATGAGTGTAGAATGAGATGCCTTGTGTAACTTTGTTACTGACTAAGACCAGCTGTTTCATTACCAAGGACCATTTATTGAAATCCCAATGATCAAGGACAGCTTGGCCCACTTTTGAAGCATCAAGAAGCTAACTTACTATATTTTCTCAGTATCGAGCCATTTGATTAGAAAAGCACTATAACCACTCAGCTTCCCAGCTTATGCTATTAAGCAGAATAAATTACTACAAAACTCTAAAAAACTTAGCTAAAACAAATTTTACACTACCGGTAGCTTTAAATCAGCTAAATAAATAAAGACCAATTGCAGCACTAACAACTACAATCTTTTTGAAGCTACCAAGCTATCAGCTATATTTGTTTGCATAGCAATCAATAATATAGGTAATTTATAATCTTAAATAGCCTACATTCCATATTGAAACTCGATAAAATACAATTATTTTATTGTGCCAGTAAGGTTTACTACATCACAAAATTTTATTTTGAAGCCTTTAGTGAACTTCCCTGTAGGGGTTTTTCAATTGTGTTTACAAAAGTATTCCGAGAGTGTGCACATTTTGATTTTGTTGATAAAATAGCAAGTAGCCTACAACACAACTAAAGTTGGTACCGGTATTGAGGTTTTTCTTTGGTTGGAAGGATAATCATTCATCAATTAGCTATAACAATTACACATTCATATTTAACAAGTTTTAACCTTTTACTAGTCAAAACTGAAATTTTTAAAAACATTCCTTCATACAAACTTAATGTTGAGCTTTTTGCCGGGGCAGTGCGATATCTGTGGGGGCCTAAACATCACTGCAAAACATAAAACAAAAACAAAACACATATTCCTACCACAACAATATAATTACCTACTAAAAGAGTGATATACATTTTGTATACCGTCTACATTTAGGCCTAGGTACTTAGAAAACATATTATAAGTGAACTTTTATTGGACTGTAATGAATCTGATTCTAAGAGGACTAAGTAACCGGCTCCAGGCCATTATTTTAAATTGGAACTTAAGTTACCGTACTCTGCATGAATAATAACTTAATAATAATGTTTACCTAGATCTCTGAAGAGCATCGTAATCTTCTTCAACTGCATCAATGTCCTTAGCAATTCTTTTATCAACATCTTCATTTGACTTTTCCAGAATAGTTTTTTTCTTTTGAATAATCTCTGGCTTGATATTACCTTGTTGTAATTCTTTTAGTCGTTTAACTTCTTCTTGCTTTTTGAGAAGTTCAGCTTTCAGCCCAACAATCTTTTAAAATAAAATATAAGTTAGACCTACCCAAAATTAGCCTATTTATAAATATAACATTACTGGTAGTTATACACGTAGCCATTTTATACTTCAGCTAATAGGTGGGACCCACGCCTTGGGTGGGACCTATAAAGAACGACATCTAGAGACCATATGGTCTAACCATAACCTAAACAGGATAACCTTGGCTGGATCAAAAAATAAAAAATATATGTTGTACCTCCCAAAGTTTCCAAAAGTTATATGTTAATGTGTTTTTTTAAAGTAACCAGACTGTTATGTTGGTATATATATGATAAAATTGATAAAAAAAACGTTTAACTCTGAAGTAAAAAATCTAAGCTTTAATGTTGAAACAAGTCTCTATGGGGTCTTGAAGTTTTATACTTGTTTACTCTCAACAGAACACCCCCGTAGTAAAGCCATAGGCTAATAGGCTATAAAATGCCAAATTGAAAGCAGTTTTCAACTTACGTTTCTGGCAGTGTAAGTTTATGCCTAAATTAGTTAGAATAAATTCCATTTGAAAAGTGGCTAGAGTTAAGAGTTCCTAGTGTGAAGAATTTTAGTAAAATATAATATATACGGTATGTCTGCTATCCTAGTGGTTCGCTACTCACACTTTGATGTGAGAGCCATGGTATGGATTCCCAGCACACCCACAAAACATATAGGCCTAAAGACCACTTAGACAAATTTCCTAAAAAGCATTTGTATTTGTATTTGCCTCCAATTCTCCTTCTTGAGATATCCACAGGCGTAAAAGGGAAGGAAAAAAGGCCTCAAGAAGATTTCAAAGTTCAATGAGACCTAGACCTACCAGTACTTGGAACCTACGGATACAGTTTCTTAACTGGGCTATGCTAATATCAATTGAAACTATCGATTTGATTAGTAAACCATAATGAGATTTTTTCATCATCAGCAAGTTGGGTTAGTTAGGTTAGGTTATGACTGTTTAATTTCATAATAGGCCCTAGATATAGGCCTATTAAAAAATATTGATTATTAATCAACATTTTCAATTTGGAAGTTTCAATCGATATTAGCATAGACCAGTTAAGAAACTGGACCCGAACCTAGGCCTACACTTTTTACATTTACTATAAGCCAAACCCTAGACCTTGCATACTAGTCAAGCAAAGAATTTGGGGTCAAAAGTAGGCCTAATGAAACTAGACAGTTAGATAAGAGAAGATATATATAGCCTATAGGCATATGCATAAGCAGCCCTTTTATAGTATTCTTGGGCGTTTTTCAAGCAGATTTAAATGTATTAGACCTAAGTATTAAAACAAAAGGTAAGTTATAACACTGATATACCTATTTACTGTTACGAACTATAAAGAAAACTTGGTTTATGGCCAGGCTGTTAGGATAAGTTTAGGCCTAGCCTAAATAATTTTCACAGTCCAACAAATCGCTTGACAAAATCACCAGCGTGAATCAGTCTATTAGGCTAACAGTTCTAACTTCTAACCAATATTAGGTAATTAATTCTAGGTAGGTTTTTAGAAGAGATAATAGGTTAGGGTAATACCTGAAAAGTCAAATACTTACAGATGATTTACTAATATCAATATGTTTTGAAGAATTCATTTTTTGAAGATAATTTAGTTTAAACTGTAGTCGTAGTTAGTGTTCAAGAATTTCAACTCCTATTAACTTATTTTACTATAACTTAATTATTATTAAAAAATATTCTCGCAAAGCTTAATCTCAATAACCTCACTTTTCGAATCCCAAAAAGTAAATAAATAAAAAACTTTGTCTGCTGCTAGAGTGGCTGCTAGGTGCAAGCAAAGAATTTGGGGTCAAAAGTAGGCCTAATGAAACTAGACAGTTAGATAAGAGAAGATATATATAGCCTATAGGCATATGCATAAGCAGCCCTTTTATAGTATTCTTGGATTAAGGGAGGTACAAATGAGGCAACGATGACAACATAGTTTAGTTTAAAATTCTTCCGTTAACAGCGTTGTTGTAGAGAGCACAGTGCGTAATTTTTACTTCACTATTAGGCATAGTGCCTAGTTAATTATAATATTAAGAAAAATTATAAAATTAATCTTAAAAATTTGCAATTATTAAATTAAACTGTCATAACACTGACACTGCACTGGGGTTGGCAGACCTGCGCGTCTGAAGAGTGGAAGGTGTTTATATCGCTGCTGATTAATTAGCTATTTACAGTGGTTGTAGACATTACTGGTTAGTGAAACAGTGTTATACGTTTTTTTTTTTTTACTTATCTTTGGTTATACAACGCCAAGTATACGTTGTAAGTAAATAAATGTGAGAAACTGTAACCTGTAACTAACACCAAATACATTCACCGATAACTACTGTTTGTCTACTTGAATAGTACAAGCATGGTACAAGTGCGCACCTAGTCGGCGCACGCTCGTCTGCCTCTTCACTGTACCAACATTACAGCAAGAAATTCCATGTGCAATGCATTGCCTCTCACCGCTTGCGCCTGCATGGCTGAAGACGCAGCACTCAGTGGTCAATTGAATCCTTGGTTGCTGTGGCATTCTGAAGGCGCTTAGACTCCCAATTATATAAGAGAGTCGGGACTACTACCATTCACCGCTCGCGACATTAGCTGTACATTTCGGGTTGCTGCTGCTACTCCGTGTCCTTGTGCTCGTTGCTCACTGCTGCCACTACACAGACTGTCAATTTACAGATTCCTCCCCACCGGAATGTTTATCAATAAACTGTATTTGTATAAATAATAAGCTGTAACTGATCTTTTGTAATTGCAAATACAAACTTCTATTACTGTTCTGATCAACATCAAAATGAGTTTTGTAGAGGAGAATTTATTGACTAGTGTAAATTTAGACAGTAGTTCTGAACAAGCGTTGATTTCTATTGTAACTGTATTAAACTCATTTCTCAGTAATTTCCCTGATTTTGACTGCAGCACTTTGGTTGATAACATCGCTCATCTAGTTAGGACAATAGACAGCATAACTGTAAGGAATAATGACCTTATATCTAGAAATGTTGACCTGACTTGTGAACTGTCTCAATTAAATGCTCACTTTGAGAAACTGAAACAAGATAAGCGGTCAGAGTTAAACGCATCATTCCGATTCCAGGCTCAAGATACAGTAAATGAAAAGTGCGTGTCACTGACTAGGGATTTAAACTCTTGTCAAAGTAATATTGAGAGCTTAAGAGCCTCTTTACTTCAGGCTAAGAATGAAAATGAAGTCCTTAAGACAGCTCTTTCTCATGAAGACACTTTGTCTGACTCAGTTGAGTGTCCTTCTGACACAAACAATTCCTTCAAAGAAATGTTATCTGAAAAGGAGAAGTCCTTGCAAGTACTGGCCAACAAGCTGAATGATGCTTTGAAAGCTAAAGCTGGGTTATCTTCAGATATTGAAAAGCTTCAAAGTCTCTCTGATCGTTTGAAGATGATGATTAATGACAAGTGGTTGGACGACTCAATTGTCCAAGCATATTTCTCATCTTTCAACGAATCCAGTAAAGCCGAACTATCCAAAGCCCTATTTGTGGGCCCTAGTACCAGTGAGCTTTTGAAGCATGGTTCTTCTGATGTTGTTATGGGACAGCTGAGTGATCTTAATTTTGACTCTTTTAAATATGCTTTGTTATGTGTCAATAACAATGAAAGTCTAGAATGGAATAACAAAATTGACTCTAACAAATCTGGTCATGGCTCTCATTGGAGTATATTATTTGTTAATATTGCAAGTAAAGAAGCTTTCCACTTGGACTCTTTAAATAACTTAAATGAGAAACATGCATTGCGTTTATCTAGTAAGTTAAGTATCACTAAAGAGAATTTCCATTCTGTCCCCTGTCCTAAGCAGAATAACAATTTTGAATGTGGGCTCAATCTAATTTTGAATGCTAAGATAATACTAAACTGCTATTGTTCAACGTCTACAAAAAGTGAAACTAGTTTTGCTAGTTGGTTTCAAACCTTTTCTGATGGCTATGTAGTAGATGGTAATGATATTGTTTCTTTGCCTGAAAATACCGCCAGTCAACTTGTAACTAGTGATTCCAGAAAACCCTTATCCTTGACTTTAAAACGAGTAGATTCAAATCAGTGGCATATAGTTCACCACAAAAAAAACAAACAAAACATTACCTCTCAGAAATACCCTCCTGCACCATCTGCCGTTGCTACTAGCAACAAGTTTTCTTCCCTGGCACCCTCAAGTGATGATCTCTTGCCTGTTCCTGACAAAACTTCTCACTCTTCCCTACCTTTGCCCAATAAGGTGACAAGTTGCAAACCAAAACCTGGAAGCCCTAGACTTAAGTCCCCAAAATCTCCTGGGCTTAAGAAAGTGTCTAGTATAAAGCATGTTAAATCTAATTGTACTAAATCTAAGTCTGTTGTCAAAATCTTTAGTGATAGTCACGGACGTCACCTCTCAGGTATTCTACAGTGTAAATTGAACAACTTGTACAACGTAGACGGCTTTGTAAAACCTGGGGCTAAAATGGAACAGGTCCTAGAGGGGGTAAAAGAAAGCTCAAAGTGCCTTGATTCAAGTGATTTCATTGTGATAATAGGAGGTACTAATAATGTTAATGTGAACGGATGCTGTAGCAACTTTGATAAGTCCCTTGATGAAATTTTAAAAAGTGTGTCTACACCGAGTGTTCTCGTAGTCGGTCTGCCTACCAGATACGATTTCCCCGATTTGAATCAAGTAACTTCTACAATCAATCATAAAATCCAATCCTTAACTTCATCCTACAAGAACGTATCCTTTGTCCCAGTAACATCCTTGACCCGCCCCAATTACACAAAAAAAGGACTCCACTTTAACTCTAAAGGTAAAGCGTTGGTTGCGGAGCTCCTTACAAAATACATACACAATCCCATCGTGCCCAAGGTATCTCATCCTGTATCAGGCCCTGTTCCAAGTATCACATCAATGCTATTTGAAAATCAGCTATACAAGTCAACTAAATCCCCTAAATCTGCCCATGTGTCTGAAAATTCTCTAAGTAGTTCCACATCCCGGTATTACCAATCTTCTAAAAGTCGCACAATCACAAATAGCCATTTTTTAGGGGAGGCACGCAGACCAGTGGGCGTCCCCTGGGGTCACTTTCTAAGGGGGATTTTGAGTGCGTAGGCATTCACTCTCAAAAAATTATCCACCAGAACATTAGAGGTCTCTTCAGTAAAGTAGATGAGTTGGAAATATTTATTGAAGATGAACAGCCAGACATTCTGTGTCTAACAGAACACGCCCTGAAGACATTCCAGATAGAGGATCTGCGCATTCATAACTTCGTCCATATTGCATCATTCTGTAGATCTAACATGAATGGAGGTGGAGTTGGTATATGGAGCAGAGGAAATGTAGAATGTAAAGCTCTCAGCTGCGAACAGTTTTGTGTAGAAGGCATCTGTGAGTTTGCAGCTACCTCGGTTATCCTTAATCCCTCTGAGAAATATCTGATTGTCGCAGTGTACAGACCACCTTGTACTCATTATGATGAATTCTTTGATCGCATATCAGATTTACTGGATACACTAGAGGGAGGTCACGATACAGTTATAGTCATGGGTGATATGAACATTGACCTGGCAAAGGAGTCCTTCCTTGTTCGGAAGTACTTAGCTATCATGACTTCACATGGTTTATACAACATAGTCAGAAGCTTCACCAGAGAAGCACTTCATTCCAAAACTTTAATCGATCACATTTTCACAAACTGTATTAGCCTTGAAAGTGAGGTAGTCATCTCGACACTATCGGATCACTACGCGCAAACTGTTAAAATGCCTTTTTCTAAACGTAGGAAACCTCCAGGTGGGAAAACTATAGTCTACAGGCAATTTAATGACTGTAATAAGATGGTCTTCAGGCACCTTCTTTCTAAGGAGACTTGGACAGATATGCTGGCTACAGATGATCTTGATGAAAAATTTGAGGGCTTCTACGATCAACTAAAATACCTTTTTGATATATCCTTTCAAAAAATAACAAAAAAGATAAAAGAACCTTGTCAAAAGAAACTTTCCTTGAGCAACGATTTGATGATGATCAAGGACAAACTCTTTGATCTGTACAATACGACAAAGAATTTCGATTCTGAACATCCTCTGAGGCAATATTATAATAACCTCAAAAAATATTATCGCAAGGCTATAAAAGATCGAAAATCCTGTGAGATTCTGAAGAAAATTAATTCTTCGGGAAATAAGTCAAAGGCAATATGGGATATAATCAATAGTAATAAAGCACCTAATAAGGGAATGCCAAACGACATTAGCTTGGTAAAAAACGATGGCAAAATTGCCAGACAGCCTCAGGAGATTTCGGATTTGTTCAACTCTTACTTTATCGAAATCACACAAACCTCTGGTACTTCAACCGATTCCATGCGTTCTGATCCGATGCAGTTACCAGTAGTTAGAGACTCGCTGTTCCTCTATCCAACATCTGACACTGAGATAAAGGGAATTATCCAAGAACTGGCAAACAAGAAGACATCGGGGGAAGATGAAATCTCACCTGTTCTCTTAAAGGAGGTTTCCGATCTACTGGCAAGTCCTTTGTCCATCCTTATCAACCATTCTTTTGTTCACGGACATTTCCCAAGTGCTCTAAAATTAGCAGTTGTTAGGCCAGTCTTCAAATCAGGAAGCCGTAAGGAATGTAGCAACTATAGGCCAATTTCAATCTTATCCTCTTTGTCAAAAATCTATGAGAAAGCAGTTTTGACCAGGCTGTGGAACCTTTTGTTGGTCAACAAAACCCTCTTCGAAGATCAGCATGGATTTGTAAAGAGCAGAAGCACCTCAAGTGCAATTTTCTCCTTGATCAACAACATAGTCATGCAACTGGACGCCAAAAACCATTCTTCGGGCGTGTTCTTCGACCTAAGTAAAGCTTTTGACTTGGTTGACCATGACCTGCTGCTGAATAAACTCGAAGCATTGGGCGTCAGAGGTGTGACCTTGGATTGGTTTTCAACCTTTCTTAAAGGAAGGAAACAGGTCGTTGAGATACCAGCTACCGATAGTGATGGATGTGTGAGGCATTTCAGGTCCTCCGTGGCTCCAGTCATAAGGGGGGTACCTCAGGGGTCAGTCCTCGGTCCAATTCTGTTTCTTCTGTTTATCAACGACCTTCCCTCATGCACAAACGCCAAGGTCTGCTTGTTTGCAGACGACACCTCTTTGACACTCGCTAGTCCTTCTTTAGCTGAACTTGAACAAAGAACCTACATTGAAGCCAACAAGCTCATTCAGTGGTTTGACGTCAACAGGTTGAAAATAAATACATCAAAAACCCAGTTTTTAAATTTCCGTATCTCGAACCGTTCAATCCATGACTCTTCTTTATCAATTCTCTTGAATCAAACGTTGGTTCAGCCAACAGAATCAGTGAAATTTCTTGGGTTGTACCTAGATCAACATCTAAAGTTTTATCAACATGTTGACTACGTCATGGGCAGGGTTAGTAGAGGCCTCTTCGTCCTCTTTGTTAATTTGGCAAATAAATGACTTATTGACTTATTACCTAACTAAACGTGTTGATAATGAAAAAATCGAATGAAGGTTTACTAATCTAAAAAAATAGTTTTGTTCATAAAATAAAATTATAAATACCTAAAATTCAATTTTATAATTTTTTAATTAAACTGTCATAACCTAACCAAACCAACCAAACTTGCTGATATGAAAAAAAATGTTGACCAAAAAATGGCTGCCAGCGGGATTCGAACCGGGCACCTTCGGATTATCAGCCCGACACGCTATCCACTACACCACCGAGGCCGATGACTGAACTCCGTATCGTTGCGGTAATGGTGTTCCCTCAAGAGATCTGACAGCTGACGTCATCGAAGGCTCTTCTGTACCTCCCTCGAGTAAATACCCTAGGGGCAAGCATAGAACTACAACTAGTTTTTAGTTCTATGGGTTGGGTGCAAGCGCAAACTGCCACCGCCATTTAAGACTGACATCTAGAACCTATCGAAAAAGAAACAGAAACAAAACCCATTGCGGCCGAGACCATGGCTGGAGAAAGGTGGCCGTGCCGTGCCGTGACCCATAACACCAAAATAATTGAGAAACCATATTAAAATTAAAACCTTAAAACCCATTTTTATATTTTGTTAGTCTTTGAACTTTTAAACAACTCAGAATAGTTTAAAGTTTCTCACTCATTAATTGGATGGGTACTGTTGCTCAGAAAAGCTGTGATTTATCTTAGAGCTTATAGATTTCAAAGCCATGGTTACTTACATTTCCCTGATCTAGTAGGAGGAAAATGGGTATAAAACAATTCACTTTTGGAACGGATATGCACTTTTATTAGATACTCTGACTAAAAAATCGTGGGTTTAAAGTCATTTCATAGCTAAGACCAACAATATAATACAAAACAAACTTTATAGAATAAATTTCCAATGGCAAAAAAGGAAAATCAGTCACACCGTGTTTGCATGAGTATGAATGTTCAGCCGGGTAATAACAACATACTTTCTGAACAGCTGTTTCTGTTGTCAAACAACCATTTATTTTGTTTTGTTGGCTAGCTAACCTAACCTCTAAGGCTTTTTGTACTAGTTTGTAGTGTTGTGTTTGTGTTCGTGTCGAGATAATTTGAGTGATTTGACACGTTAATTATTTGTTCTTATCTTACAAGTTCTCATTTTATCAACTACATAGTTATAAAGTTTCATTGCCACGTTAGCAAAAGAACTGCAGTTTGATTCAAGCTCAATATTTTCGCATTTGAATACAGTTACAGTAAATACTCATTTTGACTATTTGAGGTTAAATTGAAATGTGAAGTGGAAAATGTCTAAAAAGGTAATTTTTCTTCATCCCGACCTAGGGATCGGAGGAGCTGAAAGACTTGTTGTTGATGCTGCTCTTGCACTTCGTAATGAAGGCCACAGTGTTGGTTTTGTAACATCTCACCATGACAAATCACATTGTTTTGTTGAAACTAAGGATGGTTCATTTCCAGTCACTGTTGTTGGTGATTGGTTGCCCAGACATATTTTTGGAAAATGCTATGCTCTTTGTGCATATATACGAATGATCTATGCTGCTCTGTATATTCTACTCTTCAGCGACATGCCTGATGTTTTTTTCTGTGATATCGTTTCTGCTTGTATTCCTATTTTGAAACTGAGCAAAATCCCTGTAGTTTACTACTGTCATTTTCCCGATCAACTTTTGAGTGTACGTGGTGGTAAGTTAAAACAGCTGTATAGAATTCCACTCAATTGGGTTGAAGAAAAGACAACAGGATGTGCCGATATAATCCTTGTGAATAGTAAATTTACACGTAAAGTATTTTACGAGACTTTTACAACCATTACTAAAGCACCTGAGGTTTTATACCCCTCCATAAACACAGACTTTTTTGATAAGGCAAGATCAGCCACTGTAACCTTTGCCAAGGTGTTGGGTGTAGATTTGCCTGCAAATTCATTTATTTTCCTTTCTATTAATCGCTACGAAAGAAAGAAAAACGTTTCTCTGGCAATCAAAGCTTTGACATATTTGAAGAAGAATCTTAATGAGTCGGAATGGAACAGAGTCCGGCTAATACTTGCTGGAGGATATGATAATAGAGTGTTAGAAAATATAGAGTACCATTCAGAACTCAAAGACATGTCCTCAGAGTTGGATGTCCTTGATAAAATCTTCTTCCTGAAGTCTCCATCGGATGTAGAAAAACTGTTTTTGCTGCAACAGTGTCATTGTTTGTTATATACTCCATCCAATGAGCATTTTGGAATCGTCCCTCTTGAAGCAATGTATTCAGAGAAGCCTGTGATAGCTGTCAACAGTGGTGGTCCAAGAGAAACGGTTGTGGATAATGAAACAGGATACCTTTGTGAACCAAATGAAGAGGAATTTGCAGCTGCTATGTCCAAGTGTTTGAAAGATGAAAATAACGCTAAGAAAATGGGAAGAGCTGGACGCAAACGGTTTGAAGATAACTTCTCTTTTCGTGCCTTTTCCGAGCATTTGATCAGTGTTATAGACAAAGTAGGGTTTGATGATTACAAACAAAATTGAGTGTCTTTTTCTTGTGGATTTTGAACGATTCTATTCGGTTCTCTTTGAATCTTTGCATTAGAGATATTTTTTTAATCACTAAGGCATGTAATTGAATGACTCACTTAACTTAGATTAAAAAATGCATTTACACATTATTTATATAGCTATATTGATAGTCATTTTAGGTACGGTACTAATCAGTTACACGGAAAACATTTTATAGCGATAGGCTACAGTGAGGGTAGTTGAAATACTAAGAATGTCAATTACCTCTATTGACTGACTATTTTACCTCTCCACAACAATAAGTCAAATAAATAAGTCCCCATCTTAAATAATTCATAATTGATTTATTGTATGATTTTCAAATCCCCTCTTATCCTGATCAATGACAGACCTATTGAATACCCATAATATTGAGATTTTTACCCATTTCTTTAAAATTTAGGCCTAGACCCTTAATTTGATTCTTGAATTCCTGTGTTGTTACGAAGAAACAATTCTCCTTTTCAAATAGTAACCTTTTGAGTTACGCTATTTTTTAAATCTTCTCTGCTTTTTTAAAGTGGATTATTGAAATTTGCCAAAACTTGTTTTTTTTATCAGGGTTACGATTACACGATTTTTACAATCAAAGTGTCACTAGATTTGGATTGCTTGAAGTTGTTTTTTAGTGGCTCTTTTTCATGAAATTAGACTTTGAAATTTTTAACGGTTGCATTTCTGAAATTTGGATAGCCGTAGTTTTAAATTGCCAGATGTTTTTTTTTTTATTAGGTACCTACAGTTTTTTATAATCAAAGTAATTTATCATCGGATTTTGAATAAAAATCACTTTAAATTTAACATAATATACAGGATGTCCCGGAACTCTCTACCAATATTTTAGGGCATTGATCCTGGGTAAGAAACGTACCTAAATTTAACATTATCACGATTTTTCAAACATTATCACGATTTTTCAAATTCATAAATCAAAATGGCGGCCATTTAATTTTTTTTTTTTAAATCAATGGTTTTTGAGTAATTTAAGAAAGAAAACTTTAAATGGCCACCATTTTGTTTTATGCATTTGAAAAATCTTCATAGTTTTTTTGTAGCTTTGTCCAGTTGTCATAAATGTTTGTGCAAAGTTTCCATTTCGTATGTTTAACCATTCTTTAGAAAAAAATTAATAACTGAAAAAAACAAAATGGCGGCTGTGTGAGTAACTAAGGACTTCCGGACAGTTTAAATATGATATTTAGTTATTTTTCTTACCCAGGAGCAATGCCCTAAAATGTTGGTAGAGAGTTCCGGGACACCCTGTATAAATATGATGTATAATGGCCCTTCATCATGAAATTTGACTGTGAAAATTCGCATACAGTCTATGTAATTTTATAACTTAATAAAGTTTGAAAAAATATATTTTTGAGTACCGGTACTTAAAAAAAATAAAAATTTAGAGCATGTATTTTAACTACTGTAACTGTTTTTTCTGTTGAATTATTTTCAAGTTGACTATACAATTTGAACTATCAAAATCCTAAAAATTCTTGATATCTTCATCTCCAATGTAAATAGGCCTATTTTTAAAGACATGTAAGCTTGATAGAAAAATATGTATATACGGTATTTATTTTGTATATTACTTACCTAGCAATTTAAGTGTAAAAAGAATATTTGGAACAATAAAGTTAATTTAACCAAAAAACATTCTACAGTGCTTTGTTCAACCTGGATCTTGTAAAATAAATCTTACTTTATATCCATTCATCATCAATAAAGTAGACTCATGTTCTTTTTTTATCCCAAACATATTTTCTATGATTTTTACAAAATGAGAAGAACGTTTTTTCAAGTTTGTGTTTGTTCTGTACATATTGCCTAGATGGTGGTGTTTTTTTTTTCAATGTCTGGAATACCCCAGCAAAAGGAGTCCTAAGAGTTGTCTATAAATCAACCAAATATTGCTATGTGCAACAGCATTACCAACCATAGACGAGTGGAGAAAATCTTTAATTTCACAAACATAACTAGGTTTAAGGAGAAATGCTTCTCACAAATATTAAATGTATTTTTACAACCATGTCATATCAATGTTACCAACCAACAGGTATTCAAATAAAATATGTAGGTCCTAACTTAGGTTGATTTGTATGAAATATGATATCAAAATTATCAGAATTAAAACTCAACGTTGTGTTGTTTTATTTTATTTGTAATATTGAGAAAGAATACTATAGTTCGGCTGCTTAGAAAACGACCTGCGCGCTAATGCTAAACCAATGCTGGAGGAGGTCGCTTTCAAAGCGGCCGAACTATAGTGGCTATTGGGCTCCCAAATCCCATTTAGTTTGAGTTTAGTCACAGTGAAGTGAGAAACAGAGGACACACTCCATGGTACACTTAAAAAAAAAAACTTTAATGTCTTGACAATGACTTAAGTAGTGTCTAGCACTAGTGCTAGTATCTTAGGTAGATTCCTGCCCTCAAGTACAACATCACTATTGGTGGAGAAAGACCCTGTGCGATAGGAATCTTCACATGGTGCTCGCCGTTTGGGCTATTCCTTGCTCGCCACAAGTACATTTCCACCATAACATTCCAGTCCTGAAAGCGCATGGTTGGCTCATAAGTTTGGTTCCTCTGTACCTTACTTCTATGGGGTTTAGTCAATTGACAGTAAAAAAGAGCAGCCACGGAAACTAAACAATAGTCAGCTTGGAGCATTAGCCCAACCCCTTGGTCCACAATTACTTGCACAATACTTATATAATTTTTACAATTTTTATATAATATTATGTTTTACACTACAATATCCTTATAATTACTTCCTCTACATTTTTCAGGGGTTAATAAAACATCCACAATAAATTAACAAATAATATTTTCAATCGTAACAAAAGTATATCACTTTAAAAACGTTAAATATATACGCTCAATACTGTATCTGATAAGATAAAACAAGCATCGTTTTTCACTAAGTTTATTCACAGCCACTTAGGAAACAGAGCAGAAACGTCAGTTGAGCTAGTCTTGGTCACTATCGTCGACGGCTGCTACAGGTTCACGGACAGCTGTGGAAGGCACAAGGTCGAGCAGGATGTCAAACTGTTGGTCCAATCCCAGATACGTGTCTGAGAATACGTACAGAGTCATCATATACCTCCCTAAAACAAACATAGCAATGGATAAATAAGCAATGGATAGTGCTCATCTGACAATCAGCAGGTTGTTTGCTTGATTCTGAGAAAAGTCAGTTGTCCTCGATCATTGCGTAGTTTGTGGCAACAAAACAGCTGATCTTAATCAGTAAAAAGCTACACAACGCATTTTATTTCATTCTACGCTCATCCTCAACTCATTTTCTTCATCCCACCACCATTAGTGAATGGTTTAGCATTTAGTTCAGTCCATATTGCAACCAAAAAAAGGGTGGATGTCTTTTAGTTACCGGACACCCCGTTGTGGCATAATGTTTTGTGAAGGGCTTGGCAAGTCACAATTCTGGAAAGACATTCTTAACTCCTCTCCCCCGAAAATAAATAAATAATATCTGCCAACCAACCAGGCTTATCTGGGGTCGAGAAGGCAATCATCTGGTTGCTACTGTGATGTACTGGAGGCACTCGTTTGAGCGCAAGTAGTTCTACGCTGTCCACATGACCCAGGGTGAGGAACCACCCCTCGTCTTTAGGCTTGGGGAAGCGAGGTGCGTGCGCTCGACGCTCTTTGGAACGGTTCAACCTCGTCAACTTCACACACAGCGTGTAGTCCTCATTACTGTGAACCACCTACACAGAATATTTTTTTCAATTATTATTTCCTTGAGATATAATTTTTAAATCACATAGGTACAATATATAGGTACTAGCAGGGTGTTTTATGGGTACAATATCAATATTGATCAAATAAAAATAATGATCCTGATGCAAAAGAACCAAATACAGCTTTCTAATTTTGCCTGTGATTCTGCATCAAGTTCTGAAAATGGGCTATCAATCCTCTGGTACTACACACACCAAAAATTTGAAATCACTGTAAAGTTTTACCTGCTTAAACAAAAGAAAATTTTTTGTCAACATCTACGTACTCATACCAGATGAAACATACACTTTAGTATTAGATTTTACAAAATCAGATTTCACATTGACACTCTTTCTATACCGACCGCAGGGTAGTAGGGTTGGGTTAGGTTATGGTTGCACTTACCAGAGGGTGGTTGGTCCCAGGTCTGACATGTTTGACGTCTCCTCCACTCTCCTCCCACCACCCTTGTACACTGAGCTCTATCTTCAGCTTAGGGAGGTTCTGCAATACCTTGTATATCTGCAACACAAACAATGTCTAGAACAAGGTGATTATATTACAAGGTGACACAAGGCCACTCACACCGCGGAGTTCATAACAGCTGGTAGGAAACATGTTAAGAGTTTGTTCACAAAATGTAGCTGGTCTAAGGGGAAGGTTTCTCGAGTTCCACCATCACTTTTTTAGCTTAATGTATATCAGCTGTCTGCTAATATTTCAATGTTAGGGTGAGATAGAGGGGATGGAATCACTTTCCAAATATACTAAATTTTGTGACCAAAGTAAGTTTATCCTGTAGGAGAATGAGCTGGCTTTTAGTTCTAAAACATGGAACAAGTACCACAGTAATAGTAATAGTTTTATATCCCAATATAAAAAACGCCAGCCACATCAGATGTCAAAGTTAAGACACTATCCGCTTAAAGCTTGAGTCATTGAACATCAAGTCAAAAAAATTGAACCGAGCCGAGCTTTTATTCTCGTGATTGCAGAAAGATTCTTCAGTATGCATGATCAGAAAATTATCAATGTCACTACAATCACAGAAACGATTATGATGAGAGAGATAATGATGATGTACCCGCAACTGTGGATGTACTTGATTTTACAGTGATCGCAGAAGGTGGTGATAATCTCACCGCTACGCTAATACCAGGTAATGACAGTCGACAAAATTCAAAGCTTTTTCACAGTTTTTGGGTTTTCACGATTGAGTGGGTGGGTATTCTGTTAGACTTGAAGATAAACTCATTGACTTAAATAATTACAACACTGTTTCACTGACCTGTTCAATCTGTCCCTCGTCAAATTCCTGTCGCAACTCGTCGGCCACCTTGTTGTAGGGCAATGTCATCAGACTCGGCAGGGATGACATCGCTTGGTATTTGCGGAAGACGTACAATTGATGAGGTTCTACATGGGGTAGAGTGGTGATCGGAGAGTCATGTAGCCATCGGGCCTGTGAGACCATCTGCATTAGCAGCTGCAGTCTCAGCGTGGTGGCTAGCCAGCCCTGCTCCGCACACACATCTACCATGGCCTACAACACAAATACATGACACAATTGAGGTAGAGCATATTTAAACCCTAATGCCAAACAATTTAGGGTATTTATGAAGGAATTCCTTTTCTAGGAGGTGTGTTTTTCATGGCTTGGACAGGCAAAAACTTTTTAGAAAAATATATTCCTGATCATTGAGGCAGGATTTAATTGATTCAGGATTTTCTCGGGACAGGATTTGTTCTGTCAAATTATTTTTCAATGCATAATGAGCCAGAGTCGTCAGGGATGCAACGTAATGTGTGGCTATCAAAGCTACGTCATTAGCATACCCGGGCATCAAAGATAACAGTTTTAGTTACCATTTATTGGTTTTACAGAACAGTGTCATAAAGACTGCAAATTGATTTTGTTTTCATTATCGCCATCCGCCATCAGAGAGAGTATAGTTTACCTGTAAGATCCTGATGGACTGGTCCAGTACAGACTTGGTGTCCGTGTAGTAGTCAGTGCAAGGCAGCTGGAGATGAGAAAAGTGGGCCTGCAGCAGCAGATGAGCCTTTGTGTGAGGAGAGTCAAGTGACATCTGGTCTACGGCGATGGGGCAAATCTTGGCCAGATCACTGTGATCAAGAAAATCAGAGAACACCTATATTATTTCTTTTGTGACAAGAACTCAAACACATTTACCATAACTAGTTAAGTTGAAAATATGTTATGTTTAGGATTTTTCTGAATAAGTGCTGTTTGCACATAACACATTGGTTGAGTTTGCCGTTTTGTTGATGTCACATTACAAAGTTTAGCCTAACTAAACTGTGCTTAAAACTCCTAAATCTTAAGTGTATTACTTAAGTGTCTTACTTTGCTTGTGCAGAAGTCTTTATTTTACCTCAATCAGCCAAAGCAAGTTATTCACAGAAAATAACTACTGTTATAATAAGTACTTGCAATACAAACAAATGTTGAAAAACAAAAAAAAGATTAAAGGAGTAATAGAAAAAAAGCTTTAAAAATTGAAAAAGAGGAGTACGGAATCAATCTTATGAAGGCACAGAAAATTATGTTAATTTTAAAAGATATCGCAGATTCACCCACCCATTGAGCATGTCCTCGTTGTGTCGGACAGGAAGCTGGCTGTATTCGTGTACGTGACACAGACATTTGAGCAGTTCCTCCTGTGTCAACAGACCACTCAGGTTCTGTCTCAGGTGAAGCATCGTCTCATGACTGAGGTAGTAGAAGGATGCGATGCGTCCCAGGGACGTTGTACTGACCCCTCGACCGTCCTGTCAAACACGGAGGTTCATCATTTAAATCTCACAAAATATAGGCCCCCAACTCAAGCTGATTCACCACCAAATAAAAAACCACTTGACATATATTTTTATTTGATATTTTTGTGTTAGTACGCCTTAGTTGTGTCCATCTAAATAGAGATCTGGCAAACCACCTGAGGTTCTATCCTGGTTGAGATCCCTTTCCTAATTAAACTAAACCAAAGTCCCGCTAATCCAAACTAATCGTGTCGAACCTTGTTCGGGGATTAGTTAGAAATGCAGTAAAATTGCATAAAGGATAAAACAATGCATCTCAAGACTGCCAATGGCCATATATTGCTCCTGCGATCACTACGACGCCGTTATCGCCTCATGTGGTCATGTTCTTGGTACTACAACATTAAGTAAGACCTATAAATGATACCCAACATAACACTGTTATAAATAATTGACATTTGGTAAAAGCCGATTGGTGATTCCTGGTCATAAAAATTCACGAATAATTCCCAGATTTTTCTTGTTGGCCGGACACCCAGGTTAGTATTCCAGAACCTATTTGAATACATAAACCTTTTCCCTCAACAGATGGTTCATATTAGCTGAACTTAATTGACAGGGTTCGGATTAGCTAGACTGGTTTAGTTTATGCTTGTATTACTAATTTAAAAGTTTTTATCTGTATTGTTGGTATGGTTTATAAATAGAACAAGGCAGTTTAAGCAAAGTAAAATAAAATTAATTTCATGTTAAAAGTTTGCACCAGTAGCAGCAAAAAAAGAAAAAAAATACTCCCCAAAAACCTTTATTTCATTTTAACCCCAAGAAATTGGTGTATGTAAATTGTTATTTAAGCTTAGGAACTTGGTGTGTGTTTCAGTAGGATATGTGTTGGTGTATCTGCGCAATGTTTTACAGAAACATAAGCTGTATATAAAAGCTACAAATATGTAAACTGTTAAGAAAAATCAACTCACATCGTTCAACATGATACATTGTGCGTCCTCTAGAGTGGCGAGCGACTTCTCTATCAGAGTTGAGAGGAACTTGTTTATATCAAACTCCTCCACGCTCTCCAGCCCGTAGTACGTGGGGTTGCGCAGCAGACGACGGAAGAAGTACGTCCAAGTGAGATAGTCCAAAGCCTCCTGCCGAGTCTTGATTGTACCGGCGACGATTTCTGCGTTTAGATGATCTGCTAACACCGTCAACAAGCTCGACTCCACTGGGAACGGTTCGTAGATGAACTTCTTGTAAAAGTTCTTCTTCATGTCATGCACCTGTTGGTAATGGTAAGCAATCAAGACTTGTGGGAAAATTCACAACAAACACAAAGTATTTTTAGCAACAGCTTTCGATCAAGAATATCTCTATGCGACTGTAGTAAGTCAGCTTACCAGAACAACAGCCACTCCCTCCTGATCAAACTGAGGTCGGCCAGCTCGTCCCATCATCTGCAGCACATCAGTGATAGGCATGTCCACGTAGCGTCTGGACTTGCCGTCGTAGTACTCAGTTCCCTTCACCACCACCAGGTGAGCTGGGAAGTTGACTCCCCACGCGAGCGTCGCGGTTGCAATCAACACCTGTGTCAAATCAAATATTCACAATGAAACAACAACACATTGAATTAGCAAGACTAGATTTGATATTGAAACTACAAACGGTAATTACTGAGCAGAAAGTATGTAGGCCTATGACCTAGTCTATTATCCACTTTGCGGTCAAGCAATATGGGGTGCATTAAATACACACAGCTTTGTAACACACAGCATTAAATAACACAGGGGTGTTTACACATTTGAAACCGTATCCCAAAATTGCAGACCATGCAGATGTTTCATTGCAAGCGAGCCAGGCATATTACGCATAGGCAAGGTGCACACCGGTAGAGGCATGTGAGCAGAAAATATATGTCTCCTAACCCTTTATTTTTGACTAAACTACCTTGTATTTAATGTTTAAACCATTCCTGAAACCTAACTGCAACTAGAAATTCTAGGACCTCTTTCTTTACCCATGTACAACTTATACTCGACAGCAAATTGGTCTTGCCGCACATTTGACTAAACGCAAATCAGAAGAGCCGGGTCCAAGCCCAGAGTTGGAAGTAATTAGAACAGAAGAGTAGTGTATGTATTTTCCTCACTCTGGAGAAAGGAAAGAGAATGGTTCCGTAGGAAGGAAATGTTCATATGATACCTTTAAATTAGCTTTGTCGATCCAAACAAACCTGAATTTTCTGGTTGACAAACAACTCCTCAACTGTTTTACGATCTCTCTCTACCAGACCTGCGTGATGCATTCCAATACCAAAGGCCAGAGTGAGCTTCAGGTTGGAATCCTTTACTCCTCCCACAATTTGTTCCATTTCCTGAAAATTAACAATGGTAACTTTTAAACGGATTAAAGTAATGAGACTTTTTTACTAGACTGTACTGAGATCAACAATAAAACAGAGTTGAAAAACTTATGCATATACACGGGGTGTTATACAACTACAATTTAAAAAATAGGCCTTGCAAATGTCCAAAATAACAGGCTACCATTGCAGAAAATGTTCAGTTGCTTTATAAAGAGTTTGTTCAAACAGATTTATAAAAAGGAAAATTGATGTTTAGACTAACAACCAGTATCGAAAAAATTGACGATTAGGTCAGGTGTTATGTATTTGTTTTGGTGTCAGCCATTATACAAAGAGCAGGGTCTTTTAGAATTACAACAATGTGTTTAAAAAAATTAATAGATTTTAACTTATAAAGCTCAACATAAATCAGAGTTAGAAATAATTCTAATATTTACCATATACTTCAAACTATGGTTTCTGTTTGACCTCTATCGTTACAATTATTAATCAAATAAATTAAGTAACAATAGCAATTTTTCCAGTTTCAGAATAAAAAGTGTAGAAAACCTCTTTTCTTCTAAATGTAGAAAATTTGCACGCTTATTTCTTTAATAACAACCGAGCTTCAAGTTCTAAACTCACGTTCTCGTCCATATGCAGCCACTGCTTGGGATCGTCTTCAGCAGCGAGGAAGGCGATGAGATCGAGTGCCGTCAGACGAGTCTGCCGCCTTGACGAGACAAATATGAGCGCAGGTTTGGCTGGAGAGTACTGTCTGATTGCCTGGAAAGTTGGCCGGTTCATGGTGGCCATGCGAGGACAGTAATGTTTGCCGGGGAAACTGCTGATGTGCACCTCCAGTGGCACGGGACGCACTGAAGGACGGAAGTTGTACAGTCCCATCTGTTATACAAACTTGTGGATCATACTCTGTTCATAAAATTTAGGCGGTTTTAGGGGCAGTAATCTATCCCCTTCACGTCTTGATCCTACCATTAAAACATAGCTCAATAGCTGAGATTTGTCAAAATGTCAATCAGCTGCAACATACATGAAGCAGAAAAAAGTGGTTAAGAAAATTCCCCTCAAGCCAACTACATTTTGTGAATGGACTATAGTAATTGTAATATATAAGAGGATATTAAGAGGACTAGATTGTTTTAACGGTGTTGGCTGCACTGTACCAATGCCGTGACGTCATTGCTACCAGATTGCCGGCTGAACGGCAGTCTAACGTCATCCATGCTAAAGGTTAGTCATGTATGTTCTATGTTGTGCGTTATGCCTTAAAGTAGTGCAGTTCTTTATACATTTCATTGGCGCAGTCGGTAATTACGGATTTCTTTCTATGGATTAAAAGTAAAAATCTTTTCCGCGAGTGTTAATGGGAGACAAAAAGGACAAAGGAAAAGGATCTACTGTGACGAAGATGTCAGGTATTGGGAAGGTGGGAGAGTTTAATCCCCATGAGGAAGCCATTGAGTCGTATTTAATGCGTCTCAAACATTATTTCAAGGCCAATAGTATTGAAGATGGTAGTAAGGTTTCAGTGTTGATTACTGTTCTGGGCCCTAAAATATTAGCAGTTTTGTCAGATATTGTGTCCCCTGACGAGGTGGATAGTAAATCTTATGAAGATTTGTCAAAAGTATTGGTCAAACATTTTTCCCCAAAGAAGTTAGTAGTGGCGGAACGATACATGTTTTATTCCAGGGTACAAAAGCCTACCGAAACCATTTCTGAATTTGTTGTAGCTATCAAGCATTTGTCTAGTACTTGTAAATTTTCTACATTTCTGAAAGATGCCCTTAGGGACAAATTGATTTCTGGAATTAATAATGAGGTGATACGACAAAAATTGTTGTCTGAAGACTTAGATTTTGAAGAAGCTCAGGCTTTGGCTCTCAGGCTGGAACAAGCAGAGAAGCAAACAGGTCTTTTCAGTTCGAAACAGGATGTTAACAGTTTGAGTATGAAACGTGGTAAAAATGTTTTACCTGCTAGCTCTTTTAATAAATCCAATGTAAATGGTTATTTTAAACCAAATATGGGGTTTAATGGGAAAAATAAGTGTTACAGGTGTAATTCAGTGGAACATAAAGCTAATGATTGTCCATATTCTAGTTACAAGTGCAATGCATGCAATATGGTTGGGCATTTGTTCAAGGCTTGTAAGTCCCGAAATAAATTTAACAAGCAGAATTCAAAGTCCAAGAGTGGAAGATTTGCCCCACACAAGGTGCATCATCTTAATTTGGAAGAGGAGGACCCTAGGCCTAGGCCTAACTTGGATATAGTCAAGGAGACTCGGGACTTGTGTTTGTACAATCTAGGCCTATCTAACGGTACAGAAGCTTACAAGGTAAGACTAATGATAGAAGATGTAGTTGTAGAAATGGAAATTGATAGTGGATCAGCAGTATCCGTGTGCTCGTCTGAGGTTTTTGCGGAAAAATTTCCTAATGTGGAATTAAATCATGTAAATTTGAGTTTATTGACATACACTGGTGGGGAGGTGCCTGTGCTAGGCCAAGCTGATGTAACCGTAAAATATAAAGGTCAAGAAGTTATGTTGCCCTTATTGGTTGTGAAAATGTGTCGTAGGAACCAGCCTATGTTGTTGGGAAGGAGCTGGTTGGCCAAGTTGAAACTTGATTGGCGTTCTATTTTTTCAGTAGTATCGGAAGTAGGCCTACAGAGTAGGCCTAGTAATCAAATTAATTTGACTTTGTCTGAGCCTAACCCTATGAGTAGTGTATCAGGACCTAGTTGTAAAGATCAACTGAGTAGGCCTAAGCTTAGCAGTACAACTGAAGTTGATGTGCAAACGTTGAAAAATAAATATGCTATGGTATTTCAAACGGGAGCTGGAGAAATTAAAGGGGTTTCTGCTCACATTATTCTTAAAGACGATGTAGTTCCCAAGTTTTGTAAATATAGGCCAGTGCCTTATAGTTTGAGGGAGAAGGTTGAACAAGAGTTAGACCGAATGGTTAACGATGGAATAGCCTATAGGGTTTCCAGCCCTGAGTGGGCTACACCGTTGGTGACGGTTCCTAAACCAAATGGCGTAAGATTGTGCGCCGATTTTAAGGTAACGTTAAATCCGGTGCTGCAAACAGAGCACTATCCGCTTCCGCAACCGGAAGATATTTTTGCCTCGTTGTCAGGATGTACATACTTTTCAGTAATCGACCTCACAAATGCCTATCAGCAGTTAGCAGTAGCAGAGGAGTCACAACCTTTGTTAACCTTGACTACCCATAAAGGACTTTTTAGATTGAGACGTTTGCCGTATGGGTTGTCGTCCGCACCGGCTATTTTTCAAGCAGTCATTGATCAGATTGTATGTGGGTTACCGGGTACCGTAGCGTACTTGGACGATGTTCTAGTGGGAGGCTCAACACGTGAAGAAGCTTTTAGTAGATTAGAAAATCTGTTTCAGCGTCTGATGGATTATGGAGTTCGGGTTAACGAGAGCAAGTGTAAATTTTTGCAGCCTAAGGTTGAGTATTTAGGCTATGTGGTTTCAGCCACGGGAATCAGCCCCCAGCAAGGGATTGTGTCGGCTATTCGAAATGCCCCGGAACCGAGTAACAAGGATGAGTTAAGGGCCTACATTGGTTTGATTAATTACTATGGAAAGTTTATTTACAATTTGTCATCGAAAATCAGTTGTTTTTATGATCTTTTGAAGAAGGACGTCCCATGGAAGTGGACCAAAGAGTGTTCACGCACTTTTGAGGAAAGTAAGTCATGGGTTCTTGACTCCAATATTTTGGTGCATTATGATGTGTCTAAGCCACTTGTTTTAACGTGTGATGCTAGCCCTAGGGGAGTGTCAGCCATTCTGTCTCATATGGTCGATGGAGAAGAGCGGCCTGTAGCTTTTGCGTCCAAAACTCTTAGCCCTAGTGAGAAAAATTATTCCCTACTACACAAGGAAGCGTTGGCGTTGATATTCGGTGTAAAGAAATTCTACAAGTATATTTATGGTCGTAAGAACTGTGTGTTACAGACGGATCACCAGCCGTTAGCGGCAATTTTTGGAACAAAACGTGGTGTACCTAGCCTAGCTGCGGCAAGACTTCAGCGATGGGCTCTCATTCTGGCAGCATACAATTTTGAGGTTAAATATCGAAAAGGGGTTGACTTACCCCACGCTGATGCGTTATCACGTCTACCTCTACAAGACGATGAATCGTTGGAATTGGAGGATAATTATGTTTCACATGTCGAGTCTTGTGTTCAAGTAATCAATTTCTGCAGTGTGAGTGATGATTCTCCGATTACGTCTTTGGACGTAGGAAGATTGACGGACAAAGATACATTGTTGTCGAGGGTTCGGGACTTTGTTTTACATGGCTGGCGGGAGGTTCAAAATCCTATGTTGCTTCCATTTCAGAGGAGACGATTGGAGTTGTCAGTGGACAAGAATTGTATCTTGTGGGGAAGTCGGGTGATGATTCCTGAGATGTTGAGGGAGAATGTTATCCAGATGCTCCATGAACAGCATCCTGGTATAACCCGGATGAAGTTGTTGGCTAGAAGCTACGTGTGGTGGCCAGGTATCGAAAAATCCATTGAGGAGACAGTGGCGTCTTGTTTTGTATGTCAAGGCACGAGAAATGCCAGTCCTAGAGTTCCATTGCATTAATGGCCGTTAGCCACGGAGAGGTGGCGCAGAGTTCACATTGATTTTGCAGAAGATCCCACGTCAAGACAGCAGATGCTCATCCTAGTCGATAGTTACTCAAAGTGGATTGAGGTGTTTCTGATGAGCTCTACATCTTCCTCCAAGACTATAGAGAAGCTTCGGACTTTGTTTGCAGCCTATGGTTTGCCCGAAGAATTGGTTTCTGATAATGGTACCTCATTCACTAGTCTCGAATTCCGTGAATTCCTTAGGAAGAATGGTGTCAAATTCACCCTGTCCCCACCCTATCACCCGGCATCCAACGGAGCCGCAGAACGTTCAGTTCAGGAAGTCAAGAAGAGTCTGCTGCGCCAGGTCTTGAGTGAGAAGCGCAGTCAGCCTACTTCTTTACAGCATAAGCTAGATAAATTTCTATTTTCCTATCGCAACACCCCCACTTCAGTGACAGGCGTGAGTCCGGCTGAGCTGTTCCTACGCTGGAAGCCTAGAACTCACTTAACGATGTTGAAGCCAAATTTGCTTGATGAGGCCAGGAAGCAACAGGAGTTGCAAAAACGGGCAGCAGATAAACACAGAGGCTCTGATAGGTCCTTCAGTGAAGGCCAGCATGTGTTAGTAAAGACGGTGAGGCAGGAAAAAATTTCTTGGGTTCCCGGCCAAATTGTGGAGTGTAGAAGTCCAGTAACTTATCTTGTGAGGGTCCTGAACCGGACCAGGTTTTGTCACGCTGATCATCTAAGACCAAGTCAGGAGGAGGAAGAGGAAATATTGGTTAGAAGAGAGGAAGTGCCAGATCCACCGGAATCAGTGACCGTCAGCGTGTCGCCGGAGAGAGTATCTCCAAGTCGGCAGAGTTTGCCGTCATCGCCAAGTGCCAAAAGTCCACCGTCACCCAAAGGACGGAAGTCGATGGAAGAGGGGCAGCGTCCAGAGGTGCAGTGCAGTCCAACTCCTGTGGTTAGAAGATCGCAGCGGACTGTGCGCAAACCAGCTAAACTGGACTTGTAAGTGTGTATACACACGATTCAAGAAGAAGAATTTTTAGTTGATTATTAAAAAAATAAAAAAAATAAAAAAGAAGAAAAAAATGGAAGTTAAAAAAATGTTTGGTTTTAAAGAAAGTTTTATGTTGAATTAAAGTTTTATAAGAAGTTTTAAGTTGTGGGCCAACTATTTTATAAGGGTTGGCGAGTGTAATATATAAGAGGATATTAAGAGGACTAGATTGTTTTAACGGTGTTGGCTGCACTGTACCAATGCCGTGACGTCATTGCTACCAGATTGCCGGCTGAACGGCTGTCTAACGTCATCCATGCTAAAGGTTAGTCATGTATGTTCTATGTTGTGCGTTATGCCTTAAAGTAGTTCAGTTACCGTTCTTTATCTATTTCAGTAATAAAAATCATTAATGCTAGTAATAAAAATCATATACCAACCTCATATCAACCTCCACTTGGATTAACTGGCATTGCCCTGACAAATTTATAGGTCAGTTTATCTGCCATGAATTTTAAAACATTGGTTTAACCAACCTTTTCCGGGAATCTACTTATTTATTTATTTTTTACATGGCATGCACCATTTTACATTACATATACAGAGATAGTTTACAAAACAAAACAAAGAGTTTTAACAATATAGCACAGCACGAAAATAACAGACAGACTTAAACACAAACAGTACACATCATTGAGGGAGAAATGAAAAATGCAACAATTGATGGTTTACAATGATGAAGGAAGATAATAAGTGAAGTTTAGAGACTATTGTTCCAATCCTTGTTGCAGTAGTAAGATAATTATGTCTGTAAAGGTCTAGTTTTGTTATGAACCACATGGAAAACACACACAGGAAATTTAAAAGCAGGAAAAAGACACTACCTTTAGGAAAATTAAAAGCAGGAAAAAGACACTACCTTTTCAAGTAAATTTTGGAAAGAGAATAATAAGAAGTAATAGTAGTAGAGAATAATAATAAGTAATAAATTAATAATTTGTATAATTCTGTTTCAATAATAATGTGTGTGTATTATGAATACAGTAACTTTGTGCATGTGTTTTTAGGTATTTTTATTTTCAAGATTTTATAGCATATTAGTCTTATGATCCTTGATTAAGAGTGGTTGTACTTTACTTTGTTGACCATGGAGTCTGTAAATTTTACTTGACGAGTCGAGTACTAACTTATTTCCAATTTACAGTTCCATACCAAAATATATTTTAAAGTTGTTTTAGAAAAAGTCTGTTACAGTCTATAAGAGCAAAATTGTTTTTTCTTTTTTCACTGACCAAGACATTAAGCATTGAATTGCGATCATAGATTTAAATATCTACAACTTTAAAGAATACAGTAATACAAATTCGATAACAGAATCAATTACTACAAGACCGAAACTAATTGGAATGTGATAGTAAATTAGTTATTAGTTAGTAAATTAGTTACCTGTCCTATCCCCAGCCAGTTGGCTAGATCCTTGGCATTGGCAAGTGCAGTGGACAGCCCCACTATCCTAAGAGTTTTCGAGGTATGGCTAGCGATGAAGTTGGTTCTCGACACAATCACCTCGAGTACAGGACCTCGATCTTCACCTAGCAGATGTATCTCGTCTATGATGATCAGTGCGACTGCTCTTACGTAACCTCTTGTTTGCCAACTACGAGATATTCCATCCCATTTCTCTGGGGTTGTAACGATCACGTCAGCGCTGGCGATGGCTCGGGCGTCCGGAGTCACATCACCTGGAAACATTTATGAAAAGTTAAGAAGGAACTGATCAACAAACTGTAATAATTCATAATGGGTCTGCACATCAGGTCTGATGACATGAACTGGTCGGGGATGCAAAACTCCAAAACAAGACAAAACTTAAAATTAAAACAGAAATTCTGGGTTAAGTTTTTGTTTCCAAAGTAGGATAATGGTTTAAAGGGTTGGATTAGAAAAGCACATATCAACGATAAAAAAAACACAACAAGTCATTGCTAATGTACACCTACTAATTTTTGTGCTTGATCCTCAAAATAAATAAGGCCTCTATTTAAATTAAAAATAAGTATTTATACCTATTTTTAAATCACAGCTCAGGGGCTAAAAATGGATTTAAACTCCAGAACAAGTACTTACTGTTCTGAAGACAGGACAAACTACAAGTTAAACATGTACTTCTTACAAACAGATCCGATATTAAAACACTCTCTTCAACTCATTGTGTCTGTTTAGTTTAGTTTTTGTTACTAAACTTGAAATATAATACTTACTGGGTACTCAATAAACATTTTGGTTTATTTTCAGCCTTAAACTAAAAATCACATATTGTGTTATTTATTCAGACAAAAATTTAAGGTTAGATATAAATACCTGTGAGTTCAACAACGGAGCGATTCAGCTTCTGAGTCAACCGTACTTTCCAGTCTTCGATTCGTTCTCTCACAAGGGCTTTAAGAGGAGCTATGTATACAACCTGAAATATTTTTGAAATAAAAAACTATTCAGCTACATGTAAAAATAAAAATACTTGAGTAAGGCAGTTTCATATTGCCAAGGGGATCAACAAATCAAGTACTACATAGGAAACATGTAACTGTATATTGTAAAAATAAAAAGTGACTTGAAAAGTCTTGAGAGATTAACACTAAGATTATTTAACATCAACACACCCAACAGATATAAAAAACGCTTCAGATTCGTCCTACTTGTACTATCCAAGGTGAATTTGAACAAACCTAACCAGCAACCAACCTTAGAGCCAGGGTACTGTTTGAACACACGGAACATTGCTATTTCCGCAGCGATAGTCTTGCCGGAACCGGTCGGAGCTCCGAGCAAAACGTTGTTATCCGTGTGGTACAGACAATGGAAGATCTGAGTCTGGATGGGGTTGAAATGGGTGAACGGGTACAGCAACTCTAGCTGGGTATCTCCCAATGCGGTCACTGGTAATGGCTGCAGCTCTAGCAAGTCTGGAAACAACAAGTACAGTAGAGTTTCAACAATCCAATGTTTGGTTATTTCTTATTTCCCTCCCCTCCCCCTGGTATATTTTAAAGAGTAATTGCTACTCACTTGGTGCATTCTTTCTGTTAGGCCTACTCTAACAGGAAATTAACTGTATGTATTATTTAAAAAAAAGTTGACGATGTCTATTGTAATACTTGTATTACTTAATGACAAATAAAGATCTTGAATCTCTCTGTGAGGATATTTTTTAAGAGGAGGGAAAATGCTTTTACACACTCATGTGGCCAGCCTGTATTGTGAGACCCCGGAATTTATCAGACTACTCACTAAAATCCCCTCTACTCTGCAAGACACAGGCCTGGGATTGTTTGTCACATTAATTCAATTTAGGCGAACATGTGACCAAGTCCTCAGCGCTCGCACCATTTCTGGTATTCAGTTCTTTATGACCTAAGTCGCTGCGGACATTGGAGTACCAAGAAAATGAAGAGTTGTTTCTGTATGGCTTTAATTTACACTGTAATGGTCTCTGCCATTATGGCTTTTTCACAATATCTGTGAAGAAACTATTAAAATTTTGTTTAGCCTAATAACACCTTGTTTCCATGACCCGATCTTGCTGATTCGTATACAGCCCTCTACGCTCAAAAAATGGACTAAAATTACTTTTGTTATGTTATCCTGTTCACAGACATACATACATAAAATATTTTAACTAATAGTGTTTTTCACATAAAAAATAAACACTCTGGGGATATAAAAATGAAAAGTAAATCATTCTCCAGTATATAAGTCTTGTCGTACCACCTACGGTAATATCTTCTTCCCTATAGGGTAACTCACTAAAAGATATTGATTTCAATAAAAAAAAACCTAAAAGCACACACACCTGTGTGTTCTTTTCACACTCATGCGCTATAAGCTTCATTGTCTCTCACCTGTGTGTGGGGGATGGGTCTCTGGCAGGATGAGGTGCTGGAAAGTGAGAGGGATTGTGTTTACGGAGCTGAGCCACGTGTCGCTAGACACTCGTATTATGTACTGCGGCGGCAACGGCTCACTGATGGGGATAGTGATCACCAGCTCCTGCGGCTCCTGTTGGATCACCTGCAGAGAAAAACAGCATGACTTTCTACACATTTTTGGGTACTTTGGTATTATACCAACCACACCGATAAATCACTTCCAAATATGATTTTAATTAGTTTAAATAACAAAATCTCCCTAGCCTAACCTAGCCCAAAACATAGTCAACATAGGTTAGGTTATTTTATAATTATTATGTGTGGTCGTTATAATACCAAAGTACCAGTTTTTCATTAGATTAGTTACAATACAATGCCGAGTGTTTTGGAGTTTTACAACACCCGTTTCTTTTATTTCCTTTGGCCTCACATCTTTCTTCAGAATAACAAAGCAAGGGGTGAGCTGGTACACTGCAAGGGTTATACTGTACTTATAAAAATGAAGTGGCAGGTACCAGGATCCGAACCCATAACATTGCTGCTATGGATCCGAAGTCTGTCACGCAACCGACTAAGCCACCAACTCACAAGGGAAAAAAACAAAAAAGAAATAATAGTTAGAGAATTTGGATACATCTACTTTGAAAAACCTCCAGAACATACTTTACTAGCCGAAATCTAGCTAGCTATAAAAGTTTGTACTATTTATAAATTGGTGTACTTTCACACTTGATGGTGTAGGCTAAATCTTTGTCTCAAGTCTTAGTTAAGTGTCTTGAGTTAAGATTCCCAATTGAGTTTCAAAAGTTTAACCCAGTTTTAGTATACTTACTTGCTTTCTTGTGAGTAGAAAGTATTCAGAATGGTACATGTAGTTGTTGAGAGGATCTTCTATCCAAACCCAAAAAGCTTCGGATGTTTTCCCGTGTACTCTGTCATTCCACCTATAAAAATGATTATACCTCTTTAAGTTAAATGCAATTTACCAGTTTAATTATAAGAATCATTGGTACTACAACAATTTTGTTTAGCATTTGAAGCTTTCAAAGCTAAAAAAAATAATAATAAAAGCCAATACATAAATAATAATAAGACCAAGCTTTGAGATATTTTGTTAAAAAAATCTTCAAAGTTTTTATGGCATTGAAATTGTGGACCCCCTCTTGTACATAAAACCCTTATCTTCGATTCAGGACCATCAAAATATCATCCAAAAAAGATTTTACTCAAATAAAAAACCACACATTATGCCAAATTAGTAAACCTCAGTTCTATACTAAAACCCGAATCAGTCCACACCAACAGGTCCAAACGAGAATAAGCAAAATGTAGACACACAATTAAAAAATATGGACCTGAACACAATCTTAATACGATCAAACAAGTACAGTTTTTGAGTTATGAGATTTATTCAATTGTTCTATTTTATTCTTTACTACTCAATTTTCAGTGTTGGTTTTTTACCACTTCATTGTTTTAGTGTCATTGAGAAAGTTGTGAAACAATATCTTTTTTTACAAAAGCATAGCTGAGTGGTTATAGTGTTTGCTTAGCAATCAAAATGTTGCCAGTACAAGCCCGAGAAAAGTCAGTCGAGACTGATAAGGCGGCTAAAAAAAAATTTATGTTGGCTAAAAATAAGTAACAAAGCTACACAGATCATCTCATTCCAATTTACAGCCACCTCACATTCATATTAAGTTTCAATTTTTTTTTTTTTTTTTTTTTTTTTTTTTGAAAAGAGGTTGGCGGCCTCTTTTAAACTTGCATTTGCAATTAGCTCCATGGTGTGCGTCACTGTCTAAGAAGGAATGATAATGAGCTTCCAACAAGACAATATTACAGCTGTCTTGGCTAAAACCTTATAATGAGAAAAAATTAGCTTTATTAGCTGTCATTCAAAAACCTGTAAGGGGAGGACTTTGTTGTTTAATTTGGATGGATGTAACAACAAAAAGAATTTACTTGAAGTCAGCCGTGATGGTGAGTCGTATCCGCAGTATGGTGCGAGTGATAGGATGAAGGCTTGCGTCAATCTCCACCAGGGGAAACTCACTAGCACAGCGCTTCACTGTCTCTCCCATCTTGGCGTGACGCAGTATCACACCTGAGAAAACATAACCTTTACTTAAACTACGATAGTGGATATATAACGATAAATTGCTTGAATTTTAATAACAAAGCTTGTAAAATTGAGAAGTTGAGATTAACACCGGGTTCTGTTCTATCCACTGTAGAAAAGAATTGAAATTTTAAACTCAACTGATTCAGGGGAACTAAAATAGGCCTAAGAGTTGTAAACATATTACTTAGAGTTACATTTTTCTTGAAATACTTAAATTGATTACTATTTGGCTAATGGAAAATAGAAGAATAGTTGAGAGATTTGAGCAGCATAAAGCTCTTGTTAATTTTTTAACTTTTTCCATCACATCCAAAATTATAGAAATCACGCAAGAACAGCTTGAACAAATTGACAACTATCAATAATGTTTTTGATACCTATACATTTTTTGGACTATTAACAGCATCCCCCTATCATAACCAATATTTTAATTCAATAATCCCTCGCTGCCAGTTCTAAACAAATTTTCAAACATCACTTAATAATACCTAAAAATTTACTTGTTTTCTTTTCTTAAACCTTATTGATTTGATTACTCATAGCATTACGCACAGTTTAACTATCAACAAGACAAACACAGTAAACAAATAAACTAATCATACCGATAGCTTTTGCATCCATATCCCTGAGGTCGAATACACACAAGTTATTCCGCTCTATCTTGTCAATGATATCCTGTCCGAGGATGGTGAACTGGCGCATCTCCGACTCAAAGAACCACTGTCGACGCTCAAACTCCAAACACACCTGAAGAAACCTCCCGGCCATCAGGGGGTTCTGCTTGCGTAGCATGATGTCGAACAAAGCTCGGGCGATACGCACAGCGTTCTGTAGCAAACATGTTGCTGGTCAGTAGAAGGAAACACCTTTAAAACACCGGGCAAGCGATTTTGAATGGTTAAATTTAAGAAATATTCTAAATTGTATGACAGTTAAAACACTCGATATAGGTTTTTACTTTTTTAATGATATTTATTTTTACATTCACGTCACATTAACATTATTTTTTCATTAAAGTTTTGTACAATTTTAGATTTTTATACTATAAGAATAAAGATTTATTCATTCACTTTAAATCTTACACAGCTTTGAACAAAGTATGGAATTAGTGGAAAGTGATAAGCGAAGAGAACATAAGGATAAACCATGTAGGTACATGAAAAGGGTGTCCAACATTCCATCAAAATAAAATTCAAAGACTATTACAGGTTTTCCAAGTTTAAAATTCAAAATTTCCAGGACAAAACTTACCGCTAAAAATAACTTGCATCCCAACTAGAACATTATACGTCGTGTTTAGCCGTACATAAGCATCTGTCTCCATTAATTTGAAATTTTTTAAAGGTGAGAAAACATTAGGATACAGTGATGAATTTCATTCCAAAACCGAGAGTGGAAATCACGCTATTTCGTATAGGATGGTACCAACAATAAAAATTTAAAGGGAGCCATAAAAATTAGTGATGGACAAGACCCAAAACTTCGAGATTTTTTTATCTCGAAGCTTCGGGTGGGATTAAAATACAAACAGGATATTTTCGAGACAAGATAAAAAAAATTTAATTAATAATTAATTTAAAATTTTGAAATAAAAAAATTAATTTAAAAATTTGGTAAATCAAAATCTTTTTTTAAATTTTAAATTTTCAAAATTTAAAATTTACTGATTATTTCACTGATTTTAAACAAGAATCACTAAAACTTTACACTCTGAGGTTAAGGATGTAACATAGAGCACAAAGGCTTAGGTTTTTAGGAACTTTGTGAGGATAGCAGGATTACCGAATGGGAAAGAGTTCAAACTAGCACAAAATGCTGTCAGTGACAGTGAAATATTCTAATGTTGTGTGTACATAGTGTAAAGTGTTGTGTCTCTTGTGCCAGTTAGAACTCTTTCCCCTTCAGGTAAGCCTGATATCCTCTCAAAATCCCCAAGCTTCATTAATATTAGGCAAAACTAGTATTTCCCTTTATCTCATACTCTGATAGTATTTCTTTCAGCTAAAGGATGTTAAGAGTAGGAAAGAGAATGTCTTGGTATAAAACAAATATAGTTTTTGTGCTTCTTAAGCCAGAGTGGACCCACTTTGGTAGGCCTGATATTCTAACAAAAGTCCTTGTAGTTTACAAAAAGTAGGCCTTTCTGCTTGACTTATTTGACAGTAGCACAATCTGTTGGAGGCTCAGTTTAAATATGTTAGTTTTCATTGTAAATTTGGCTTTGACTTTATATAGAAATAGAAAGTCTCTATCTATACATTGTAAAAGGTCTAAGGTTCTTAAACACATGCTGACAGTAAATATAAGTTTCCATAGAAACTATTTATTAAATTCATTAACTTACACAGTAAATTAATGCAAGATGAAATTTATTCCTCCTGTCAAAATAAATTATGAGGAAGAATACAGATTCAAGAAAGTTAGGTATATTTACTCCATTCCAGAGGGTAAAAAGTAGAGAGAAAACTTGGCAGAATTCTTCTGTTTTTGTCACTATTGCTACAGAAGAACTAACAGATGATCACTATAGTAAGCAGACAAGTAGAAACTCCTGGGGAAAATGTGAGTAGAAGTACACGTAGACCTGATGTTGTATTGCTTCAGTGAAAGAAAAAGGATTCACATAGTTGAAAGGATTGTTAAGACTAAGCGCCAAAGAATGTTTGAGAAACATGATAAAATGTAGGTAGGAGATGAGTTCAACTATGGACGAGGAGATAACTTTTCTGAGAAACTTCAAGAGGAAGAAACTGAAGAGTTCTGCAACAACACTGTGAGCTGATTGAAGACAAGTGAGGATAGAATACAAGAACAAGTCCTGAAGAAGAGGAAACAACAATATAAATTAGATTGTACGATTGTACTTATTAGTATTAAGTATTCCATGTATCTATAATTTAAGTATCTTTTGTACCTAGTGTTAGTATTTTATGTATGTTGTAATAAAGTATCCGTGCGCTTTCCTACTTCAGCGTATACGGAGCGTCCCCTGGGTGGCGGATAGGGGGAAGGTCGGTGAATCTGCTTGTCAGTCCTCCCGGCTAGGTCCAATGGACCCGCTGACCAGAAGTAGGCCCTCCATTCATATTGGGGGTTGAGGTGATGGGCTAACCACCCTCCCTTGTTAAACAACCCTGGTTACGTGACTCCTATAGAACGATTCAGAGAGGAAGGATCACATTGGACAACGACACAACGACCTAAGCTGTGTCATAAGGACTTGAGATTGGGAAGCTCGAACCTTTGCTCTCTGGCGGTGCCAGGTGCTGTGGACATCATTAGCAGGGAACTGGAAAAGTACACAATTGATATCGAAGCCCTCCAGGAAATGAGATAGCCAATTAATGGAATCATAAACACTAAAAATTTCACATTATAGTGGTAGGGATGATGGAATACATCAAACGGGAGTGGGATTTGCTGTCAATAAAGATTGTAGATACTCTAGTCAAATTTTAGGCTGTGAATGAAATACTATACTAGGCCTATGCAAGATTAAAAGGAAAATTATACTACGAGATGCTAATAAGAATATGAAAAGAGGTTTGTGGAAAAGAGAGTTATCATATTAACAGTAACAATAATGGAACTAGACCTCAATGTTAAGTGCCACAGCGGACCTGGTAGACAAATGTAGTAATACAAAGAGATATTGGTAACGGCCCTTGGTACCAACACTATGTACACCAGTCACAGCCGCCAGCCCACACTGACGGAAATGATTATATGAAGGAGAGATGTAAGATGACATCTCACTCAAACTCTTCATCCTGCTGGTTAACATTCAAAATGATAATAGTGAATAACTTATGCTTACTTGTGTAATGTACGACAGGTCAGACAGAAGAGAGAAAGAATTCACTCGGCCTCGAGACAAGTACGTCTGCAGCAGAATGTTGACTTTGCCATGGAGGTTCTCACTGCCTCCCATCACCTCGACCTCACAGTAGTCTCTTGTCAGATTGTCCAACTCATCCAACTCATCATCCCTCACCTACAACACATCAGTCATTGAGAGACACAATCATTTGTTTATTTACATTTTTTACCAAAGTAATGTTTTGTAAACCTGCAAGTCATGCCATTGAGTTTTTACAATAAATGGTAGTTCTGTACCTGCTTTCAAAGTAGCTTTAAAGAACTGCATTCAACTATGTTCTTTCTCATTGGGAAGCAAAATTGAGACTAAATAATGAAAGATGATGAAAATCCAAGCCACCAAAAATAGTGCCATAAACTCACGCCAGTTCTTAGCCTTTCTAGCGGATAGACGCACTAAAACAAATCATTCTAGTAAAAGGTCATTTAATTTACAGAGAATAGTTAAGTAGTGTAATCCACTAGATTCAAATCAGAAAAACTGTTGTTAAAACTGTTGTTACCTCGGTTGCTAGGATAACAAAAAAATAAACAAATGATTAAAGTAAATACAGAACACATGGTTATTGTGTTAGACAGTTTAGTGGCACCACATTAGCCCCCTGCGGAGTCTGGAAGACCGGGCACTTTAAATTTCACAGTACGACCAGATCGGGTCACATAAGGCTTGGGTTGGCCTGAGAGTAGGGTCTTGAGTGGGAACACTGTGGAGGGTGGATTTCTGGAATGTTCATTGTGGATGGGTGTATGTGTTGAAGGAGTAAGATCTTGCAATAGATACGCGGGCTTTACTCTGTCCAACGTCACCTTCACACGTTTACCACGATGGATTATAGTCATAGTTTTATCATCACGAGATACCACGGGAAACGGTCCAGTATAAGGTGGTTGTAGTGATCGTCTAACAGAGTCATCTCGCAAAAATATGTGAGTACACCGTTTTAACTCCTGAAAAACGAAGGTCTTTGGTTTATCATGCCAAGATGTGGGCACAGGTCTTAAATTTGACATGTGTCGACGTAAGCGAACTACATAGTCAGCCGGGTCCTCCTCACGAGTTGTGTCTTGAGGGAGGTCTAGGAGTTCTCCAGGTAGACGGAGTTGGTGGCCAAAAACTAATTCGGCAGTAGATGCCTGAAGGTCTTCACGATATGCCGAGTAGTACGATGGGAAGTGCTTCAAGCCATGTTGAATCATTGTGGCACATGAGAGCTGCCTTAAACTGCCGATGGAATCTCTCGACTAAACCATTAGCACAAGGGTGATAGCCGCAAGTTCTGATTCGCTCTACACCGAAGGTCTTTCCAAGGGCCCGAAATAATGCTGACTCAAACTGGCGTCCTTGATCAGTTGTGATGCGCAAGGGTGAGCCGTAACGGGAAAACCAGCACATCACCAGAGCCTCAGCTACTTCTTCTGCGGTGATGGTTTTCAATGGATGAACTTCTGGCCATCTGGTGTAGCGGTCGATAGCTGTTAGGCAATATTTGTATGGTCCGGATGGTGGAAGTGGTCCAATGATGTCAATGTGAACGTGATCAAATCTTGATGATGGGAGTGAAAACGATTCATGGGGTGTAAATACATGACGGAAGATCTTAGCACGTTGACATTTCTCACAGGCTCGGGCCCAGTTTCGACAGTCTTGTTGAATTCGGGGCCAAACAAAGCGATTAGAAACAAGTTTTGCCGAAGCTTTGATGCCAGGGTGACTTAGATTGTGTATAGAATTAAAAACTGAGCGTCTAAGGGGCTCAGGGACAAAGGGTCGTTGTACTGAAGTTGTTGTGTCACAGTATACATCAAGGTCTGTTCCAGGAATTTTGACAAGCTTCAAATTAAGAGATGTCTCTCCCTTAAGGATCTCTTGTAGCTCAGGGTCAGAGTCTTGATGATGTGCCAAAGTTTTGGCATCTACAATGCTGGGAGCCGTAGTTGACAATGAATCTACACGAGAAAATGCGTCAGCTACTAGGTTGGCCGATCCAGAAACATGTCTTATGTCTGTAGTGAATTGTGAAATGAATGTTAGTTGGTTTTGCTGAACAGGAGGTAGTTTTTCACGTTTTTGACTGAAGGCAAATGTTATTGGCTTGTGGTCTGTGAAAACTATGCAATGATTTGCCTCAAGGTAGTGACAAAAGTGACGAATGGCGGCATATACAGCGAAAAGCTCACGGTAATAGGCTGGCCAAAGGGATTGTTTTGGTGTCAGTTTCTGTGAAACGAAAGAGAGAGGTTCCCATGTTTTATTGTCAACCATCTGCTGGAGAGCAGCTCCTACATGGGTACTCGAGGCATCACAGAACAATGCGAGAGGGGCCTTGTGGTCAGGGTGAACAAGCAAGGTAGCATTGGAGAGATGTTCTTTGCAGGATAAGAATGCAGCATCCAATTCAGGAGTCCAATTTACAGGTTGGTTTCCACGTAGAGATGAGAGGGCATCATGGAGAGCTGCTTGTTGCTTGGCTGCTGAAGGAATGAATCTGCGGTAGAAATTCAACATGCCGAGAAAACGACGCAAACCTTTTGCAGTAGAGGGACGGGTGAATTGTTGCAGAGCCTCAACACGTTCAGGAAGTGGTCGAGTACCAGCAGATGATACCTCATATCCTAGGAAGGTAACCTTTGGAGCTTTCAAAACAGTCTTATTTACATTAACGAGTATGCCATAATCAGAAAACCGATTGAATAGAGTTCGTAGATGGGCTTCATGTTCAGTCTCATCCTTAGAGAAAACTAAGACGTCATCTATATAAGGAAAGCAGAAGTCTAAACCAAAAACTACTTCATCGATGAAACGCTGAAAAGTTTGTCCTGCGTTGCGGAGGCCAAAGGACATGAAGGGGAATTCAAACAATCCAAAGGGGGTTGTAATGGCTGTCTTCGGGATGTCTTCAGGGTTGACAGGGATTTGTGTGTAGGCCTTCACTAGGTCGATCACAGAGAAATACTTGCAACCTCTGAGAGAATGGGTGAAATCGTGGATATGTCTAACAGGATATCTGTCAGGAATAGTCCTGGCGTTGAGAGCACGGTAGTCTCCACAGGGGCGCCATCCATCAGGTTTCTTAGGGACCATGTGAAGGGGTGATGACCAAGGTCCATCAGATCGACGTGCAGTACCATCGGTGAGCATGGCATCAAACTCGGCTTTGGCTATAACAAGCCGATCAGGAGCGAGTCGACGTGGACGAGATGAAACTGGGGGGCCAGGGGTCGTTTTGATGAAATGCAAGGTTGAATGGAGCACTTTTCTTGGTGTACCAGAGGGTCGGGTAATCATGGGAAATTCTGCCAGTATTGATGAAGTTGGAGAATTGGGTGTGATAGTTTTTATGCTGAAATGAGGGATTGAGGTACATTGACAAAGAACAGAAAGGTTTGTTACACTGTCAATCAACCGTTGATTACGACAGTCAGGAAGCAATCCAAAGTGTGCTAAAAAGTCAGAGCCTATAATCGCTGTATTAACATCAGCAATGACAAAATTCCATGTAAAAGCTCGTCTCAGCCCTAAGTTTAATGTTAATGTCATCATACCGTAGGTGTGAATGGCAGAGTTGTTTGCTGCACGAAGTTCATATTCAATACGCTTTTGGTTCTTACAAACAAATGATTTAGGGAGACAGCATATGTCAGATCCAGTGTCAATTAAAAATTTTGTATTGGTAGTCCGGTCGATGATTTGTAGGCGGCGCCCTCCAGCTTGGCAGTCAGCTGACGCCATCACTGGCTGCCTTTGGAGTTTGTCGGAGAAGTGAAATTACATGGTGGAATGCACTTCTCAGCTTGATAGCCAAAACGCTTGTGGTACCAGCATAGATTGGTTTGCTCTAAAGTGTCAGAGGAGCTACCTGCGTGATAACGGTTACTTGACAAACTCCTCTGACGTGACCTAGGTCGCCTTTTACGTAGGGAATCAACATCATTACGCATATTTTTCATTTGCAACTCCAAAGCAGATAATTTTGATAAAACTTCAGTTAATTTTGGGTCATCAGAAAATGAAGATTTAGGATTTGGTGAATTAACGGCATTCAAAGATGTAGGCATACTAGTGAGAGAATGGCAAAAAGATGCGTTAGGTTGGACTGCTAGAATTTTGTCGGCAGTAATTGCAAGTGTGTCAGTTTGGGCACTTGTTTGGACTTGCAAAATACTTTGTACATGAGCAGGAAGTCTCTGCATCCAAATAGTTTTCAGTAAACTATCTTGGATTGTGGTCGAACCTACTAGTGATCGAAGGTGGCGTAGGAACTGAGAAGGAGTTTTGTCACCTAGTTCCTCCTCCATCAATAGCTGACGAATGCGTTGCTCCTCAGATAGAGACAACCGTCTGATTATTTCAGACTTAAGAGTAGAGTAAGGAGTTTCAACAGGTGGATCTATTATAAGATCCTCCACTTCATTAGCATAGCGCTCATCAAGATGTGAAATTACATACGAGTATTTAGTTGTTTCACTCGTGATGTGAGCCAGTGTAAACTGAGCCTCAACTTGGGCAAACCAGAGCCTTGGTTTCTCTTTCCAGAATGGTGGAAGTTTTATGCTTACCCGGTGGATGTGATGATCTTCATGTCGTTAGTCGGAATAGGCTGTATGATCTGGCTGATGCTGTGGTAGAACTGGTGGAAGATCAGGTAGGTTGGCTTCTTGAGGATGTACAGAAATGTGATTTTGTTCTTGTCTTCCATTCAAATCTTGAAGTTGTCTTTGTAGGTTGGCATTCTCACTCTCTAATTGAGCTAGGCGCTCCAAAAGTTCTTGGTCCATGGCGTAAAACGATAATTTGGGGAAAGGTGAAAAATAAATGAAGTTTTGGTAGAAGGTTGAAATTTAATGTAGGAAAAACATCAATTTAGTTTGAAATAATTTACTTGTTAGTCGGGGTCACCATTTCTAGCGGATAGACGCACTAAAACAAATCATTCTAGTAAAAGGTCATTTAATTTACAGAGAATAGTTAAGTAGTGTAATCCACTAGATTCAAATCAGAAAAACTGTTGTTAAAACTGTTGTTACCTCGGTTGCTAGGATAACAAAAAAATAAACAAATGATTAAAGTAAATACAGAACACATGGTTATTGTGTTAGACAGTTTAGTGGCACCACACCTTCAATATTTACATGGGGTATGTACATCCAACAGTTCAAACTAGGGATGGACGAGATTGGATTTTTAGTTCGAGACGAGATGAGACGAGATTTTTTATTTCTCATAAAATTTCGAGACGAGATCGAGACGGGATTTCCCTTCTCATAAACAACGGGAAATGCACGTTCAAAATTTTTACCTGATTTTGTAACATTGTTAGATGACTGTTTAAATACAAAAATAATGATAATAGACAAGAATATTTACAATCTTTTATTAAAAATTTCATTTTTTTATTCATTTCAAAAAACATCAGCATAACATTTTTTTATTAATCACGCCTAACTTATTAAAAATGCCTACGATTAGAAAACATAGTGATATCAGTTAGGATAGAGTTCAACTTATCCTAAAATAAAATAAATAATAAAATAAAAGCAATATTAATTTTTATAAAATAATTACTTGTTTTGACTTTTTATAGTAATAAAACATTCCTCACACTGCTTACACTTAACAAAACTTCTCAAATGTTATTAAAGTAATATTATTAAAATAATTAAAGTAATATTTACATTTAAAGAATTAATTAAATAAGAACGCCTTCGCAAAGGAAACGCAACTACAACACGCTACTGTATTGCGGGTATTGCATTGACTTTCTGGAGGCGTTTTTATTTATTTTATTTTTTTTTTTTTATTCTCGTCTTGATAAAAACCTCGGCCAAAAAGAAATCTTGTCTCGTGTAACGAGATTTAAAATTTCCCGAAATTTCGAGACTTGACCATCCCTAGTTCAAACTTAAGACATGGGTGAAGAAAAATTGAAAGATAGGAACTCAACCAAAACAGTTTAGCTGTGAAATCAAATCTTACTTTAAGCTGTTCAAACTCTTGAGCCTTGGATATCATGGCGAAGATGGCCTTGTCGTCCATGACACAGTCAGATGTCATGTTCATGTCCTCGTTGAACACCTCGACAGTGTCGTACTTGATGTAGTAGTGGCTGGCTGTCCGGCCGAGATCTACCAAACATGATACATCAATATGCTTTACAAATTTACATCCATAATACTTGTACTCTAAAGATAGGTAGTAAAGCCATTAAAGAGTTGATTTTAACCCTTTCCAATCCGATAAACCAGCTGTAATGGTGTTCTTTTGCACAACAATTTAAACAAATTTGAAATCAATTGTCTCTACCGCTCAAATTGCAAGTGATACTGCTCAATACAAAATAGTTGAAAATCGGTAGGCCAGAAAAACTGGCCTAAACACGTTTTGCACACAAAATCTTTTTGTCTGCTGAGTTCGAAATAAAAAATAGTTCTGAGGAGTTGGAAAGAAGTTATGATGGCTCCTGAGCTGTTACACAGAAAAAGGTGACCAGTAATACCATTGATACAAGTGGCAGAGACAGGCGATGTTGAAAATTGAAACAATTATGGGCTGGTTTTGTTACGACTTTCAACTTAGCTCAAAGGATTAAGAATTGATTCCGCCCTTAGATGTAAATGCCTATCAATTGATATCTGGGTTGATTTCATTTGTTGACAAACTATTGAATACAAATTGGCTTACTAAAAATAAACAAGATTAAAAAGTAAAATACGAGGGTAACATTCATTAGGCCTACCTCTTTACTTAAACATGCTGATGACGTAAAGTAACTCAAAAGATTAGATAAAATTAGGCTAGAGCAGTTTTTAACAAAATACAACCAGAAAAAATTGTAGATTAGATTACACACCTCGCTGAATGTAGTTAATAGATAAATCATAAACCGGTAGCGAAAACATAACAATACTGATTTGAATAAACTATGTTTTATGAAGTTTAAAGAGTTCATTACTTACCAGTGACGCTTAAGTCTCCAGTTCTAGGGTTGAATCGTAACATTTTAGCTTTATCTAAAGCTTGGGCGGCGTTCTCGATCAACTCTCTTTGCTTTATGTCCAAATTAGGGTCTTCCTGAGGTAAGATCAAAGAATTAACAACATTTTTATTTCACACATGACTACACTCTAGCAAAGGTGTTTTAAGTTCACAGGCATGACTCTTTTTAATTTTCAGTTTTAATATGTGATGGGTATATTAAAACCTAACCAGCAAAGATCTCAATATGCCGTAAATCGGAGCAGAACTTTGAGTATCCGTGAGCAAGGAGCAGATCAACCGAACGACGGTCAACTGTGGTCAAAAGATACATCTAAAATTACATTATAAAACCACATCACCTTGAGAAAAATACAGAGAAAACTTTTCAAATTAGGTTCCTAAGCCCTAGTGAAGTAAAATGAATTGCATATCCAACTATTTAGTTTTGGCCCATGCTAATGAATTTATTGTACGCTACCACATTATTGTTTTTGAGACATTCCAGTTCATCAGTGGAAAATAAAATGGAAGCAGAAAAAATAAAATATTGATTGATAGATAACTCCAAGAAGGCGTCAACCGTTGCACTGACAATGGCTCCCAACAGATTCCATTGGCTCAGAAATTATGACGACATAACAGCGTAGCATCCTGTGATTGTGTGAGCAGTAACCATGGCAACTGTTGAATTTTCGTGCATATGTGGATGAAGAGAAAACCAAAAAGAGTAGAGGAACAAAGAGAAAGAGTTGCTGTGTTTTAGACATTTGCAATGAAAGAGGTTTACAAAACCGGAAAGCTTTATTTGTGTTGTTGTTGTACATTATTGTTCTTCTTTCAAATCACTATCTATTTTAACATGATTTGTTTTCAATGAAGAGAACACCAACACTTGATCATTACTATTACTATTCACTTAGATATTCGGAGAGATTTGGAGGAGAGAGGAACAAGATGGAGGAAGAAGAAAAGTGGAGAAAAGAATAATAAAATGGAGAAGACTAATAGATGCCCAGACCTAAGAATAACTGAATCATAAGACGATCTGTACTATGTGCCTTTCGTAAAAACTACGACTCACTTAGGTATCATGATTATTTATTACAAATTAATTAATTCAAATGTGCCTACCAGTAGTTGCTGATGAGATATTCCATAGTGCAAAGGGTTCATCCTCATGCGCACATGAAGATACGTGTAACTGAGCCACTTGACGGCTTCATCCACATTTGAAATAGTCCCCAAAGTCACCTGAAAAAGAACAAATATTTATCCATCCAAACTGTTACATATTTTTGCATTCATGAGTTAAAGCTTGTGATTAAATTATTTCAGTTTCAATTTTTATCCAAATTTTCTGTTCCACCTAAATACGCCTAAGACACAAATTAAAAAGTTAAAATTTAAGTACAGCCTCGGTATTAACTAAAAAAAAAAAGAGTATTAAAATGAAATAAGCAGCTACAGTTAGGCTATTGATTTTACAATACACTTGGCATAACAACAAGGTACCGGTAATCTTAGCACCCTATTGTGAAGTCTTAAGCTTGTTTTTATGTGTTACATACCTAGTCATTTTTTATATTCTAAATTTGAAGTCTTATCCAAGGATAAATTTAAAAGTGTGCACTTAAGTTATTCTCTGTAATACTAGACGACAAGCAGTAGTTTACAAATTAATCGTTCTATTTGACACAAATTAGTTAATGATCAGTAACATAACCTATAAACATAGAGAAGATATCATATGTGTGTAGTGTACCACAAAACTTAAAGTGAAGATCTAATAAAAGGCTGATCAATAACATGAGCAGCATGGAATTAATTAGAAGGAAATGTTTTGCAACACATATACAAAATTAGTAAACTGAATAATTTTACTGAACAATATAATTACACAGCAATGAAATATATATAGAGGATGGAAAAAAAGTCCCGGGACGGTTAAATATTTCAAAAAGTAATAAATATAGAGCTTTAAAACTTGGTACATACTGAGCATTAAAATCATTTTAACATATTACGGTATCAAGTGATACACTACCTCCTCAGGGGACGGCCCGCCCATATTTTACTAACAAAGACCTTTATTTTGATGTGCATTTATTTTGATAAGCTTACATTTAAGATTTACTTCTAACTCCTAGCAGGTCGTCCTCCTGAAGAAGTAGCACATCACTGAATTGTGTGTTACATGATTTTAATGCCCAGTAACTGTGTAGCAAGTTTTGAAACTCTATTCTTATTAATTTTGCAAATATTTATCCATCCCAGGACTTTTTTCCACCCTGTATAAATATCGAACAGCACCAGACAATTGGGTAGTAGCTTGTTTGTTGTACAATGTCGCTATAAGTCAATGTGCCATGTGTGTGTGTGTCATATGTAGGTGACCATAACCAAACCGATTAGAACAGAAGGGAGTTTACTATACGTTACTTTCTAGAAATCACTGATCTCTTGTGGAATCTTATAAAATAACCTTAAACAACTTCTGGTTTACATTTTAAAGTTTCAAACACCATACCTCCGCATTGAGGTTGTCGACGAGACAAGAGATAAAGTTGCTCTCAATGTGGTACTGGTTGGTGAGGGTAGAGAGATAGTGCGACAGTTTGTCGTGCGTTGTGATGATCGTGCCGTGACCTGACTTGTCAAACTGCGGACGACCAGCACGACCGAAGATCTGCAGAACGTCCAAGATCTCCAGGTCGACAAACGAACCTTTCTTGGCATCATAGATCTCTGTACCCTGTGAAAACAATTCACTTTTAATAAACCCTTACTATTTCGTTTTGTTGTGCTATCCAGTAGTACATCTAAGAGGGTGATCATTGACTAGACGCCAGATACGTTAAAGCAGTTTACTAACAATTGTGTCAAGTGATTAGATTTGAACCAGCAATCACTCCAAACATGTATATGAAAAGTATGATTAAATAGAAGTAATTAATTCATAGTCAATTACCCTAATGATGACCGCATGGGCTGGAAGGTTGACTCCCCAAGCTAAAGTTGAAGTACAGACCAAAACTTTGATCAAGTTCTCTCCAAAGTACTTTTCCACCAATGACCTGCACACAACAAAAATAAATATTAAATACCCCCGCCGCAGCAATCCTGCAGACTTAGCGAATTTGCATTTGTCTGATTGGATTTACACTAAAATGTCTCCTTAAAAATATCACATTTATTCCATATTTAAATAACGAGACTTGCAACAGGGAGGGTAAAAAAGTGTTTTTTGTTGTAAAATGTTAATACTGTAGTTTAGTAAGAAATTAATGTATTGATCAAAATATGTCCATAAACAAGCAAACTACAACAGTTGACTTTTTTGGAATTTTCTCCGTAACCATTAGGCGCATAATAACGCTTCAATATACTAAATTATTTGTTTTTTTAAGCTCTACAAATGGTTTGGAAAGAAATTGTGAAATTTTGTGTTTTCAGGGTCAAAAATGGGAAAAACCTATTTTCACCCCATAAAACCCCGTTCCCATAGTCTGATCATGCTGGTTCGCGAACTTGTTAGAATAGATGTAGGTTTACACGTTTGTACCAAATTTCATCAAAATCGGATAATTTTTGCTCGAGTTATCGTGCTGACACACATATATATGTATAAATAATAAATATATATATATGAATTTGAACGGATGGTGTTTTTGGCCTCTAGGGACCTCAAAACGAAAAAGTAAATCGGTCCCGGGTCCAGGTCTTACCATGAGTACTACGGTAATAGCTTATTCCCTATATGGGAAATTCGCTAAAATTTGGATTTTACTCTATGACACATCAATCAAAGTATTGAGAAAGAAGATACGTTTCTGATAAAACCACTGAGGCAGAGCTTTGATAAAATTTCTTGAAAACACATCTAGAGCTGAAATGAAAGCTCCATGGCAATTCCTGAGGTCTTAAGGTTTGTAGTTTATGAGATACAGTGAACAATGAGTCAGTCAGTGGTTTTTGCCTCCTAAAAACTTTAATTTATATAATCAGAAGCTCAGGAAATAAGTCAAAGAGCAGACAGGCAGGCATAAGATGTAGGAGAATCAGGTGGCTTGGTATTGAAAGATGGGGAGGAATAGTAACAAAAAGGTGACTATGGAGGAGTCATCCGGATGAGACACGATCACTGGAAAGACTAATAATAAGATGGAGTGGTTAAGTAGTTGAAGACATAAGGAAACAGGAGGCAAAGTTAACAATTAACACGGCAAAATGTTCTCTAAATTCTAAAGGAAACTGGTTGGTAAGGCAGATTTTTGAGTGGCCATAGGAGTATGAATAGAGAAATCTTTAAACAAACTGACAATTTCTTAAAACTTGAGTATCACAAACACAGAAATAAGAAATAATGTATTAGGCACCTTAAGTCATGATCTGCCGCAACTCTGAGCAAAAGTCAGATTTTCTATGTCCATACAGGGTGAATAAAAAGTAAATACTCCCCCATCTAATATTTTTCCTAAGTTAGAACATAGTTAGGACACAGATATATATTCAAAAAAAATATATACATAGATACCCTTTTGGTGATCGTGCAAACTTAGCACAAAGTTTCATTTTATGATTTTGAAAATTTTTAGTGTCCCCCAAAAATGAGGGATATTGGGCTCAACTGGAGATTATTCTATGCATAAGGTATCCTTTAAACATTACCAGTTTAATTTAAAACAGTATGATTTAAATTGGCATTCTGTTAATCTTAATATTATGTTTTTTTCAACCCACCCTTATGACAGTGTGTATGTGGATCCGGATCCGGTACCGACATTTTCTTGGATCCGCCCATCACTGATCATTATAGATTTATTTGATTAATTTCAGTCAATCAAGTGCTAAAAAGCCTGTTCCATATTCATCTCTCTAAAAAAAGCGTCACTTAAAATTACTATTATTGTTACCTTTAAGCATTAACATCTATTACTTATTTAATACGCAAGCAGGTTTTTTGTGACAATTACTCCTCCGAAACTACTGAACCGATTGACATGTTCTTGGTGTCATTGGAAAGAAAATAATTATTAGAGAGTCAGGCCCTGGGGCCCTTTTAAGTTTCGTATTTCTCCATAAGATAAACATGAGAAACAAATTGTTATGAAACTCCGGCTGTTGTCAGAAATTAAAAGTGAGAAGAACATATGTTATATTGTAAACAGTCAATACGTTTGCTAATTTAACAGTTTGTTTCAAACATTTACTGAATTGGTTGAAATGAAATATTTACTATTTGAATTTGGGTTGACGTAAATATTACAATTGAAAAAAGCGAGAGAGCCTGGCTAATTTGATATACTAAAAAGAAAACTGAATTAACGCTGTGCTGCATTTCTTAGTAATCATTGAAAGGGCCGATTTGCAGACTATGGTATCAAATATTTACTATTTGAATTTGGGTTGGCGTAAATATTACAATTGAAAAAAGCGAGAGAGCCTGGATAATTTGATATTCTAAAAAGAAAACTGAATTAACACTGTGCTGCATTTCTTAGTAATCATTGAAAGAGCCGATTTGCAGACTATGGTATCATAGGAAAGTCATAGAACACCACCAAGGAGAATAAATAGAAATAATGTTTTTTTCTTAGAATGTATAATTGTTAAGAAACAAGATCAGCTTTTGAAAAATGATAAGATATTTGCAAGAAATTTTGATTATATCGATCTATTATCTGAGTCGAATCTTTTAAATTTATCAGAAATTATGACTTATTAGTTTTAAAATAGCACCTGTAATACTTAGCAATTGCTCAAATTCGAGCAACATGTACACTAGTCTCATTTATTATGTAAGTAAAAACAAAACGTCAGTTACTTTGTAAGCACTCCTTTTGATAAATAAATTAGTGAATCAACATGAATATTTAAATTTTTTCTCATTTCTCTTAGGATTTACCTATCTGAACGAAGCAACCCCGCGTGATGGACGGAGAAGCCAGCCTGAAACAGTTCCGCTAACTGTTTGGAACGACACCTGGAGAACGCCTTGTACGCAAGTCCAGCGGCCGAGCTCTCTCCCGGCTCAAAGTCCTTCAGCTGTCCCTTCAACTGAGCCATCTCGCGCAACACGTTGGCCGTGCGCACAGTAGCGTTACGAGCGTGCACAAACACCATCACCTAGTACCACCACTGACTGTGTATTTTGGTAAATAATAGTTAGTTAGAAAAACATTTTACTATGTAAAATTATGTTTTCAAAGTTTGTTTGCAGATACCTAAAAAAGTGATTTTACACGCAAATTGTGCACTATTTACACAATAACTGTTTTGTTAAAAGTACAGGGAAGAATGCTTTGATATTCACTGAATAGCTTAGGTAATTATAAAAATACCTTTCCATACAATGTTTAAATACATAAACGAAAGAAATTATTGTTTGACCAGAATGAAAAGAAACCACTTTGCACCTTATCTTACTGACCTAGAACTGAGAAAGTCAACAAGTAAAAAATTCAACCATAACGTTAATTGGACATTTAACTATTTAAACTAATGGTAGAAAGTTAACTGAAAATATCTTCTCCGATTAAAAGAATCCTTTGACTTTTTCATGGAGTTGAAGCGGCATTTAGGCGGGAAGCGCTTCGAAAACGAAGACGAACTGAAACGGGAGGTGGAACAATGCCTAACCAAAATGGCGGCAGAGTGGTATGATGCTGGACTAAAAAAACTGTTGCCACGTTATCAAAAATGCCTTGAAAAAGATGGCGACTACGTAGAAAAATAGTCTATGTATATATCTTTTAAAATATACCCTTTTCAAATCAAATTTGGCTTTTTTATTTATTTTGGAAGTAGGTGTAACTTACTTTTGAGACGACCCTAGTACAGTTAAACTCTTGCACTAAACCGGCTCATCCCTTGCCTTACTTGGCATATTTCCTACACAGGCGAACAATCGATTATTTTTAACGTTTCCAATCATTTTTCTCATTGTTAGTCATTATGTAATTCCATCACACTAAACTTCTACATGAACTAACCTGATGGCCCTTGGCAACCATATCGTGAACCTTCTCGTAGCAGACTTGGTCCATGTCGTTCATCTGCTGAAGGGGTTTTAGAGCTTTGATTCCGATAAACGTCTGATGAAGCGGCACCGGCCTGAACCTCCCGTCAAAGTAGAACAGTCCCTTGTAAGGGTTTACTCGCAGAAACCTGCTGACGTCCAGGTATGTGGGGAGGGTGGCGGACAGTCCGACGATGCGGATCATGTTTTGTGAAGACTCAACCTGTGAAGCAGAGATACAGCAGTGAGTTGCAAAGTAAAAAAAATAATTTTTCTACATCCCTTGCTTAAAGTAGTGAGATGGCAAGTAGAGTCTGTTATCTTTAAAATCCAAAATTCAAATCTAAGTAGAATTTCTTTACAATACTTTATAGAATCCACTGTGAAATTGATTTTCACTATTATTAACTTAATTTCAAATCAATTTTTAAAACTTATTGATTAAAAGAAAACTGATTACATAACAATTACATCAATGTTATGATCATCTTCTACGAACACTACATTTTGTAAGCATCTCTTGTGACTACAGCTCGACATCGTAATGATGTTCCATGATCACTATAATGCGGCCAGATTCTTAATCAGAAAAGATCTATATCATTTTTATCATTCTATCTGAAACCTAAATTTGAACGTTCCAACTCAAATTCCATTGCTGTACTGCTTTCAAAGATTCGACTGGTTGAGATTTTTGATTTGATGCTCCAATCCAGCCAATCGAATCTCGAAATCCAATCTTGGATTTGGTGGATTTAAGATACCAAATCAACTTCATAAACTATAATACAATTTGATGGTCAAATTGTGTGATTAATTGATTTTCAGATGATTAACTATTTACTTCATCCTACAGTGAATTTTTGAATACCTGTCTCAGAGTACGAGCAACAATAGCCTCGACCACAGGACCTCGATCACTGTGCAACAAGTGGACTTCATCAATGATCAGCAGTTTAACCAGGTTAGCCAAAGCGACATCACCTAGATAAAAAAAAAATATGCATATTGTGTGTTGAGGAGAATTAAGTGTTTTTAGCAATCGTTATGGTTGAAACAATGCAAAAAATGTAGTCAGTCAAATTCCAGCTAAAAAGTACTTGATCGACTTACCAGCTTTTCTGGTGACGACGTCCCACTTTTCTGGTGTCGTAACCAACATCTGGGTCTGCATTATCTCAGTCTTTGTAAGTTGCATGTCTCCTGTCAATTCTCGCACAATAACTCCCAAAGGCTTCAGACGACGGGAAAAACTAGCAGTCATCTCAGCGGCCAGAGCTTTCATTGGTGCAACGTAAACAATCTACGAGCAAAAATTGAAGTTTACAAACTCATCAATTTATAAAACAAGTTAAGAATATAGTTTTGACGCTAGATTTGTAAGGTAGTACAATTTGAACTGTGCTTTGACGATCGATTCTCGATACCGATACCAATGTCCAGGTATTGAGAATCGACAAATCCCTACTTTAAAAGTAGCTGAACAATATTATCTCGTAATAAAAGATTACATACATTAGTGCTCCTGTTGAGCTAAACGGGAACTTTAGGACTGGAAAAAGTTTGTTTGGGACAGGGAAAGTAATGTTTAGGGTAAGCAAAGTCACATGTTTTGATGAATCGGAAAATGTATTATTGGGAAATTACAGTTTTCGTAAACTTCAGCTGTATGGAAACTAGCAACTTTCGTTAACAGAGAATTAAAAAATATAAACATTTTAATCACCTTGAACTGTTCTCTCCTGATTACTTTGTTGTGGCTGTAGTTCCCGATGGTATGCAAGATGGCCAGTAACGCCACGTTGGTCTTACCTGCGCCTGTCGGCGCACAAATCAGGAGGTTCTCGTTGCTGTGGTACGCTGTCTCAAACACCACCGACTGGATACGATTCAAATGCTTCATGCCTTCAAAGACCATCTGTCCTATCTGAAAATGGTGTCACGTTCATGATGGTTAAAATGTTTCGTTCTGATTTGAAATATTTGGGACCACTTAAAGACTCAATGAATCATAAATCAAAGAAATTATGCAACAGAATAATTGATAGCATCCACACTTTTTCCAAAACGCATAATTGCTGAAAAAGCCTATATTTTATCTAAACATAACAAAATTAAGCTTTATAAGCCATATAAAACAAGTTGTAACAAATGGCTCGGAAGCATGAACAATAAAATACATGATGAAATTGTCGTCATAATTTTTAAAAAAGTATGATATTTTGTGGTATCCGCAACGGGGTAAAGTAGCCAGGATTTTTATCCAACTTTAAGGTTTTAAAATTGAGTCAAGTAACATGTTTTGCTTCATAAATTGGATCAGTTTTTTGATCGTTGACTACCCTCCTCAGAGCCATTGGTTTTAGTCAAACTTGAATCCTTTGAGCACCTGCGGCTATATTATCAAGCTCCAACTCAGAGAAGGTTTAAATTCCTAGGAAAGATTTCTCTGAAGCTACTAGAAATATGGGAAACGGGTGTCCTACAGTTGTAGTATCCACCAAGACCCCAGCTCAGTACTGACGGACCTAGTCAAGGGACATTATGATAGGCAAACAAGTAGCCAGTATAAGAGCTTAACAAAAATGTATTAGGTATATGAAAATTGTGAAACTTACTTCATCCAGAGTGTTTATCGGTATAAAGTTGCTACCGACAGCAGTAGGAGCTGCTTCACAAGCGGGGATGTTCACTTCCTCGTACTGTCTGGTGTCCTTCTTTAAAGCTCCCTCAGGCAACATCAACTTCAGACCGGATATGAAGCCTACATTTACATCAAATGCTGTTCTTCAGGCTAGTAGGTAATCATTTTATTTTCTACAGATAAATTTTCTTAAGCCATAACAATACTTAGACAACCCCAGCGAAAACTGGAAACTCCCAAAAGAAAAACCTCACAGAAAACTATAGTCAAAATAAGAAACAAAAGAACCTACAAGCACAACTGACAATCAGATAAAAAACAAATAAATAAATTTACAATCAAAATGGAGTTTTTTTACATTAATCCCTGTTTGTTTCTTTGAGTTGGTGAGTTGGTTAATGAAGTTACTTGGACATTTTTAACAAAATTCATCCCCCAACTTTCCAAACAGCAGTGATGAGTGATTATTGCTTTCTTAAGGATTTTTTCTAATTTTGACAACCCTATGGTTATCCTGCAAGGCTTTTCTTTTGGAAATAGATTTTGTTTGAAAATTGTTATTACTAAAGGAAATCTTTTGTTTTACAAAAAAACTTTTGGGTTGTAGAAAATTTGAAAATACCGTATGTTTATTTCAATTTAACCTGTTTCAACAAATAATTCAATAAAGCAACCAGAATGCATGCAAGTTTCCTCTAATTCAAAAACAAATTAGCAAAACAGTAACTTTAATCTGAAAATAGTAACTAGGTCCATGTATAACAAAGAATGATTTCACTGAAAACATTTTAATTTAATTGTCTAGTTTTAAAATCTACTCCTAATTTTCTTTTACAGTTATAACAAGTCAATCTTGACAAACATATTGAAATTACACTTCACAATGTGTAATAAAGACTGAAAAATGCTACGAGTGTATTAGTTTTTAGTAGACCACTATTGGTAAACCCCACCAGCATTCTGTCGTACAGTAGCCATGGAGTCGTAGACATGGGGGTAGACCTCCTTTGGCTGGCTGGCTCGTGCCACTATTCGATCCTTGTTGGAGGAAGACGTAAAGATAATCGGTGGATTTTTCAAGGCAGCTTGCCTATTAATGGAAAAAAAGTTATCAGTCAATTAAGGAATGTTTAGACAACTTGCTAAAATGCTAATGACTAAGTTCTTAAAGGAGTTGGAACTAACCTAAAGATTTTAATTTTCCTAACAATATGTCAACTGTTGTGCAATATTTTGGACACTAAAATTATTCTACTTTTTTGTTTCAACTCGCTACTGCTTGTTACCATTGGATACTCTGAGTAGTGATCTAACGACAGTGGAATGCCGTTACGGTGTAAGTCACATGACAAGCTAATGGGACTGTGGTGGTAAGATAATACAGTGCTTGTCTCTACGGAGGTGCGATGTTACCACTGAGCTAATTATGTTTAGTTATAAATTACTTTTAATAGCCACAGAGCAAACAACAATCAACCAGATACTGTCGATACAAATAAGTCTTTGGCTTTAACATCTATAAACCAAACTTTACTTTACATTACTTGTAAAGTTAAAATAGTTAAAAATATAGTAGAATTTTAGAGCAATGACTCAGTTATAGTCATCGACAGTAATTAAGGACTGACCCCCGCACCAGAGAATAACAGACTTAATACACATGCCCAATCCTTGGATCCACATTACCGTCCACTATAAAAAGAATAAAGCAGCTGCCAAAAAAATTAATCCTTAACGTCATGGCTAAATCTGCACCTTTGCTTCAGTCAACAAAGTTTGTTGCAAGTTGCAAGCTTGGTTTATTGCTAGAATACACATTCTTCATAAGGTTAACTTTTACCTTTTAGCCCTCAACTCCACTGGGTCAAACACTTCTTCTTCTTCTACTTCCTCTTCTTTGGCCAACCACTTGTTTATTTTCTTCTCTTCTTTGCGAGCTTGTTTCTGAAGCAACTTCTCTTGCTCAGACTGAACAACTACTTGACAGCCGAAAGCTGGCCTTCGTTCTGCGTGGAAAGAACCTGATGGTTACTTAACGGTACTTTATAATTAATTCTTGCCCTCAATCATAATAGATACAATAACTATAATACAGGTAATACTTTTTGTCAACGTCAGTTCTCTATAATATTATTAGTTTTGAAAGTTGTGGTTCCAATTTCCAATCTCAGATGGCCAAAACACATTGTCAAGAGACACATTGAAATACAATAAACAATAAACTAAAACATTACAAAACATTGGTAACATCATCGCGTGACCAGCCAAACAAGATTTATTTAAAAGTCTAAACCCCAAACAAAGTTGAATTGGGTAGAGGAGATTGGAGGGGTAAAGTCTGCATCCTTCCATGCACTCGGCTTAGTAATCAGATTCATCATCTTGTTTGGCCGGCGACGCAAAAAAGGTTAGGATTTATTTCTAATCTTTGTATATTTGTTACGTGTTCAAATGCTTTTTGTAACATTTTAGCGATCTTCTGATATTTGGAAATGAAAACTTATAATCTAGTAATACATAATTTACAAGAACAAAAGATACACAACCTGGATTTTTAAGCTGTTTTAAACTTCATTAAGAAAATAATAACAATTTCAAAAGGACGACCAGGGTTGTTTACCCTACTTCCGCCATTTCACAACCACTGTTTCTTAGTTTCCCTTTATATATAAGCTTTTATAATATGTCATTAGATAAGAACATATTCAACGTCGTTGCTTGTACACATTGGATAGGTTATGACTCTAAAATACTTTGATTCTATGCACAGTTTATATTTTACTAATGAAAACTCACTCTTCAAAAACTATTTAGCTTTTTTATAAACAGTCATAAAGAAAAAAACACAAACACCCCAAATTGAAGAGCAAATAAACTGACCCAGTGCCGAAGACCGTGCATTACTCATCATCATTTTCTTCTCTTCAGCTGCTGAACAACTCTGGACAATGTCGGAGCGATGCATCAGCAAAGTTTGGATCAGCTCAAAGTGATCAAAACCTACCAAGTCAAAAAGCTGAAAAACACAAACAGCTGAGATTAACAAACAAAAAACAAATCCAACAGATATTTGTTTAGGTTTTTGACTCATATTTAGCCTAGGCCTATCATTTTAATTTAAAGCTCTTGTGAATTTTATCTGACCAGAAAATGTGCTACTTCTTTAAGAACACAAAACCGCTTAAAATAAACTACAATGTAACAAACAGTAATAGCCTTTCAGCCTACAGGTACCAGGCACTCCAATCCCGTTTTTCAAATCAAAAACGGTTTTATGGGCTAAGATATTTTTTTCTTGTTAATACCCTATGACTACCAATTCAAAATGTGAATAGCATCCGCAAACCGTTTTGCTGGGACAGCATTTAAAAGGTTTTTTATCGTATTGTGTCGTATTGTTTTTTTTTTATTGTATTGTGTAGACTATGAAAAATACTTGTCATACAGCAGCAAAAACAGCCGTTTTTAATGCATGCGTTGTGGGGCTAAAGTAGCATTTTAGCATTACTCTAGGGAGTAAAAATCATTTTTAGTCCCTAGGGAGTAAAACTCAGCTGTTGTAAAAAGTTGTAAATTTCGATTGTGACAATCGTATCGATGGAAATTATTTATTGATTGATTCATTAGGGAAGGTTTTAGCCTATTGTTGTCGATCTCTCGACATATCGATTATTTAATGTACAATCGTAATAGATGAAATGATTGAATCACTTACTAAACAGCTGCTTATTTGCATTAGCAGATTTGAAAACAAGTTGGAAGTTGTTTTGAGAGGTTATTACATAAAAATTATTTCTAGTTTAGTTTGTTATAATAATGATGCAATGTGACAAAAAATATAGTTCACCACACGGGCCAAAAGTGTCTTTTTAACCCTCGCTCATTTTCTGACATCGGCTTCGCCTCGATCGTAAAACTTGACTTTGGGTCAAAAAGTCACTTTAGGCCCTCTTCATAAATAGGTGATAAAATATACTACTAATTCTTGAATAAACTATATTTTCTACCAACTATGTAGAATTCTGAGAGAAATTGAATGGTAGAATAGCAAATTCAACCAAGTCAATACTTTAACATGCCTACGGTACCTCATTTTGCAGTTCGTCATTTGATCGCTGGGACGTGAGAAGGGCGACAACAGTTTCACACATATCATTCGCTGATGTTGTACCTTTGAAACTAGACTTGATTTCCTCTACAAGCCACGCCCTCCCGTACTAAATCATAAACAAAATCGTCAGCAGAAAAATTTAAATCACACTTAATTCTAATTTCCTTCTGTTATCTTATCAATGTGTATTGTTACGGTGGTTGGCATATTTGAGAATCTTGTCACACTTTTAGTAACCGTCAATCAGTTTTTAAGCTTAATTTTACGTAATAGTTTCAGGCAAAATAGTTGTGAATGAAAAAAGATAAAATACCAAACATATATATGAAAATATCAAACAATATCAAAGCATCTCGATACAAAAAGTCTAGTTGTGATTCTTAAACACTAACACAGAAAACATACTACTATAACCCAGAATGCCAACCGCATGGTAAAAAGCATTAAGCGGTTTGAGAGAGCTTTGCCTGTCAATCCGTAGGCAGCGCCACCAGCGTTGCTATGCTATTGCATGGCAACGCTGGTGGCGCTGCCTACGGATTGACAGGCAAAGCTCTCTCAAACCGCTTAATGCTTTTTACCATGCGGTTGGCATTCTGGGTTATAGTAGTACGTTTTCTGTGACACTAAGTAAATGGAGAACACAACCCAAAAATATTGACAAAGTCTAGGCTGGCTATTCATTAGTCTCATTAGAGACAGTGATTAAGTGAGAGGGGTCTACATTCATAATGAGGGGTCACTGAACAATACGGGACCTTTAGGAATTCCACAGACAACGTTAAACCCGGGTAATCTTAAACACAACAAGCAGACAACGCAGCAAGCTATGTTTCCCTAGCTTTAATCCCTGTTTTGATGGAAACTGATGAATCGCTAACAATCTTGTGCAAAAGTATGCATACTTTTTTAAACTTGAAGCTACTTTCCACATTTATTATGTCTGAACCTTTTTCTGCATAAACATTTGTAACTGACACAGATTTCAAAAAGTCAACCCTTATTGCAAACACCTTCCCAAAGAAACCTAAGTACAAAATATAATTCTTAAAAACCGGAAGCAACATTTTTCCTCAAATTGTTTACGGCTACAACGACAAGACTTGCCACAAAGGGTTGAAAACCGGCTGGAATAGTATTGAATGAGGAAAAGATCTTGACACTGTTGTCAGATTTGAAATTGCTCGCTTGCTCACGTTGGGATCTTGACAGAGGTCTTAATTTACACACACTTGTATAAGCTACTAACATTTGTCTGCTTATTGTTGTTGGATGTGGAGGGTTCCCCATTATAGGCCATGGAGAATGACTCGAGACAGTCTACGGTAGCAGACGACACAATGGGCTGCAAGTAGCTAAGGTCAGGAGGGTCCGGCGGTTTGGGAGAAAACACCACATCCTCCTCAGCCAACTTTGGTAGCTTCTGTGGAGCTTCGTTTGACAAAGCTTTCACCAGATCTAGGCATTCACTTGAAAGACTGTTGGACAAACTGTTGACCACCTGAAAGGAAATTTAGTACACTAATCACAAAATAGAGCAGTAAATAATTTATTAAATCGTTGCAAAGAGGCAGTGTAGATTGCTACTGAGGAATGCAGTAGCCCAACTACCGTCAGTACTATTACTATTAGTAGGTTAGTCTACTGGGTAGAGAGTGTGACCATGACCTACGTACAGAAGTTCTAGGTTTAAATCTATATTATAATATGAGTAACATTTTCACACAATGATTTCAAAAACGGCCCCTACGATTTCCTCCAATTTGTTAGAAATATCTTAGTCTTAGGCTAAAAACAATATCCCTTCTACACTCTGTTCTGAGAAAATTAGGTTTTTGTTAAAAACTTAAAATTAAATTTCAATATTTTTAAAATTAAATTTCAATATTTTTTACATTAGTCTTATGGATTGTCCAGTCAGTAGCTATGACAGTTTTAAGAAAATGTAAATAAACAAATCGTAACACATGCTTGTAACAAATCATCTATCTCTTGCGCTGCAGGAATGGGCAGGTTTTTTGTATGATCCCACGGATTATAAATTAGAAACGGTAGGGATCATAAACATAAAAATAATAACCCCAAAATAAACATGTTTGTATTATTATTTCAATGCAACTGTCAAAAAGCGTCCAAAACAGGTGTAGAGATTATTAGTATTAGATTCCATCCAGTGACGTTTAGGATGTAATTAACCAAAAACCTCTGAGTGTCATTTTTATATTACGTAAATTTCATTGCTCCATTCAAACCCTACTAAAAATGTTATTCAAATGCCGGAATTTCCAGTTTTTTAAGACCCTGCTATATTGAATTTTTTTTACCTGTAACATTATAATTTGTTTTCATTCTTCTTGTTATTTTAGCTCATACAAATGTGTTTCCAGCAAATCCAAAGTAAAAAAATAAAATAGGCTAGCAAAGTACATCTCTACACAATAAAATTAATTATATCAATGGTTTAATTTTTTTAAAGGCCTACACACTTAATTATTTAGCATACCTTATGAATCGACTTCACCAGTTCTGAAGTGACAGTTCCGAACATTAGCTTCAGCTGGTTGTAATGACCGACATTCACTTGGGGCTGTTCTAGGAACAGGTTCAAGAGAAACATAGCTGTGTTACCGATCACTTGTTGTGTCTGGTCGTCACCTAAACATGACAGAAACGTAAGGTGAAAAGATATTGGGTGAATCTCACCTAATGCATGACACAGATACAACCCAAGGCTACTATACAGAAGGTTGCCTCAGACGAGTGCGCACACACGTGGCGCATGACGTCACGCGCAGACCTCCCCCACCAACACTAGCCGCTGTCATATGCTGCTAACACGTGCTTACGGCAGACGCTCAGCAATTAGATAGTTTTTATGTATTTATTATGATTATTAGTGACCTATGTGTAATAGTTTGGATAATTTAAGTGTGTGAGATGCCTGGGGAACGGTGTGCCGTAGCCGTATGTAACAACAGCCGCGTTAAAACACGTGAGTTGTCAGACAATAGCAATAAGGTATTTTATCACAGATTTCCTAAAGATCAGGCCTTGTCAAAACAGTGGGAAAATTTTTGTAAACGTGCGGATAAATCTTTTAACCCTCTTACTTCTGTAATTTGTTCTGACCATTTTACAAGTGAAAGTTATGAACGCGATTTAAAAGCCGAACTTTTAAATTTAGTCCCTAAGAAAACACTAAAGCCAAATGCTGTGCCTCATGCTCTAAAACTGCTACATGCGTAAGCCTAGACCATGGTGAAATGCTTTCTAGCGAACGAGACAAACGCGTTAAGAGCAGGGATTGTAAAAAAGTTGTAGAATCTATTTTAAATAATGAGTTTACTGAAAATGAAGCCAGTTCAGAAGCTGTAGGCCTAAATGAATCTACGGATATGAAAGAGATCCTGTTAAAAGAAAACAGTGACCTTAAGGAAAAACTCGCTTTGTTGCAAAATAAAATTGATTTAGATTGTCGTGAAATAAAAAAGCTTAAAAAAGACAACCAGAATCTTAAAAGAAAAAATAATAAACTCACAGCAGGAACCAATAAAGCACACAAGGTGCTTAAATCAATTTTCACAAAAAATCAAATTGATTTATTGCTTGGCATGAAAAAAAATGTAGCTTGGACAAGTGATGAAATCTCGTTGGCTTTTACTCTAAGATATCTTAGTAAGAGATGTTATTTGTTTATAAAAAGAAAGATGAAAATTCCCCTGCCAGGACTTTCAACGCTTCAGCGTTGGGCTTCACGTTTCGTCATTGATCAGGGGCTGTTTGTTTCAGTCTTTAAATATCTCGAAGTGGCCAGCTCTTCATTTAAAGAGCACGAGCGCGTGATTGTGTTGCAATTCGACGAAATTAAAGTAAAGAAAGTTATGGAGTACGACTCTAAGAACGACCAAATTGTGGGTCCACACAGTCAAATGCAAGTTGTTTCAGCTCGAGGACTTTTTGCAAACTGGAAGCAACCCCTTTACGTTAAATTTGACACACAAATTACAAAAGAGATTCTATCGACAATAATTGTAAAATTAAAAGAATCCGGTTATACCGTAAAAGCCTGCGTAAGCGATATGGGAGGTGGAAATGTAGGATTATGGAAACAACTAGAAATAAGTACCAAGAAGACGTATTTTGTTCCTGACCCGTCCTCCGACGAAAAGGTATACTTATTTGCAGATGCTCCTCATGTGTTGAAATTAATTCGCAACTGGTTTTTAGATACTGGTTTCAAACTTTCTAGTGAGCATTTTGTGCATAAAGAGCCAGTGTCTACAATACTAAAAATGGAAGAAAATAATGATTTAAAAGTGTGTCATAAACTAACGACAGCGCATTTAACTGTTCAAAAAGCTGAGCGTCAAAATGTGCGGAAAGCTAGCGAACTAATGTCTCACACTACGGCAACAGCTTTGACACATTACTTAAGAAATGACAAAGTTGCACAGTCCACAAGCAGTTTTATCGAGCTTGTGAATAAATGGTTTGACTTGATGAACTCCTACAGCCCCCGACAATTTGGAGAGCCCAGTCAAAGAGCTTATGGACAAGACTTGGTCAACCAAAATGAAATTTTGGACGAAATGTTGATAACGATGACAACAATGAGATGCTGTGGGAAAAACTCCTTACAGTTGTTTCAAAAGGGGTGATCCATCATGTCACTTAAAGAGTTGTTAAAAGATCTCAAAACATCGTATGATATTAAATACATTCTCACTCATAGGCTTAACCAAGACTGTTTAGAGAATCTATTCTCACAGATAAGAACGAGAGGAGGACTAAACGACCATCCTACCCCATTAGATGCCATATACCGCCTGCGAATGATCATTCTTGGTAAGACTCAAGGCTTATTACAGCAAAATACTAACACTAATAACAACGAAGATACATCAGAAACAATCGTTAGTAAAGTATTGCGCGTAGCAGGAGTAAAGGTGGTCGAAACCGAAACTACATGCCCTCGCTTCAATGAAGAACGCTTTTCAGTGGAGATGACAAATAATGAACTTCCATGTACACCAGGACCAAGCTACGACTCCGTTGATTGTAAGAATGATGCCTTGGAGTATCTTTCAGGATGGGTGGCCAAAAAACTTAAAATTAGTTACCCATACCTTGCGAAAGTTCAAGATGAAGATAACGCAACACTTCCCGAAATCAGCTTGCATGATTCTTGGATTAAGCATTTATCGTATGGAGGATTGACTCGTCCATCACCAGAATGGCTCAACCAAGCAAAGCTGATGAACGAAGAATTCGAACTATATCATAAAAATGACCTTTGCAAAGAACCAGGTGCGTATTACTAATATTTTCATACAATTGAACAAGCTTTTGTAGTGTTCATTACTTTAAATGCGCTGAGCGAAACTGTATTTAAGAATAAAAGATTTTAGCTTGTTTGTTACTTATTTTTAAATTGAATAACATCAAACAAGGACATTTTATTATGTTAAGGAATGTAATTTGCAAGCGTAGTAATTTTGTAGCATAAAATAAAGAGATGCAAAAAGTTATTATATTACTTGCAATTAAATTTAGACATTTCAAATTTGTTGTTATAAGGCTTCAAATGGAAGGCTATATTTATCTAATTTTGGATATTTACGCAGATTGCTGATACCGTTTATTAAGCTAGTAATATATATATATCCGTCTATTGGTCCCCTTTATAACTTAAAAAGTTCAACGAGAAACTCCATTAAAAAGTATTATATAAAGTTACGTTATAACTACTAAATGTTTTTTTCTTTCAGGCGTCGTAAAACGAATAACAATGTCAGCTATCCAGAAATACCCTTGTATTCCTGAAGAGGTCGCGAGATCATTTATAAAACAAAGAACTTTAATCAGAATGAAATTTCTGAACGAAAAGCTGACCCTCAAAAGAAAACCCAGTGGGCCAGTGAGTGAAGACAGGAAAACTTTAAAGAAATATAAAAAACTCACGACTTAAAGTGTTAACATTCGTCTAAAATTGTAGAAATGTTATTATTATAAATGTCTAATAAAAATGAGATTATATTAACTATTTGTTTATTTACCCGTCTGCTACGTATTTCAATTAAAATAAGTAGAAATCAATAATCTCATAGGTATATAACAGTCTCAAAGTAAAACAAATTAATATGTTCATTAAATTTCGTTTTCATGAATACAATAATTAGATCAAGCAGCTATAGTAGAATAGGCACTAAGAAATATACACTTGTATTTTTAATTATGAATTATGAATATTTTGAAAGCTAGAACAGTGAAACCTTGTATAGCTTGGTTTGATAATTGATCTTAAAATAGTTTACGTTATATTTTGACTGGATTGGCCTAGAAAAGTGATTCAAAAACTCACTTTAAAACAATTGTGTTGTCCTAAAACAAACACTACTGTTTAGACCTAACCATTCCTAGTTTACCATATAGCGTTCTTGGTAGTGCGGCCAGTGTGGTAAGACACTCGCTATCGCACTTAAGACTGAGGTCGGCGGGTGACGTCACGCACTCGCCGGCCGTTGGCTACACGCAGCATACGTGCATGAGACAACCTTCTGTATAGTAGCCTTGGATACAACCGAGATTCACTCATTGAGTGACGCTAATCTAAGTTCCGTTATATTCGTGCAAACTGCTTTATGTTCAGGCAACTTTCAACAGATTGCAAACAATTGAGAAGTCAAAAATATTGTCCAGACGTTTAATTAAAACCTATAATTAATTGAGGGTGTGAACTGCTCTGAAAGTTTAAAGAGGACTAGTGCTGCAATCTAGATAGATAACTAGATGGTCATAATGGCCACTTTTGGATATTGTTTTCCTTTAAAATGTCAGTAGGCCTAATTTCCTGTTAAAGGGAACATTCATTATTACAAATGATTTTTTATACATCAATATTTTATAAACTGTTCAACTTCACAACAACAAATAATGAAAGACAAAAAGTAGCTTGACCTAACCAAACTCAAATTTAAGTTATTTTTGTTATCATGTTTTTATTACCTGAACTTATTTCCCACAAAATCCATCTAGCCTAACTTTAAAATAATTTAATGTACCTTATGAGTTTTAAAAGAGCAATTAACACAAAATCATACAATTTTTTACTAGAGAATTGTTTAAAAGGTATAAAATACCATATTAATGTAAAATCTCAACAGAGTAATAATCTAAATTAAAGTAGGATGAGCCTAATCCAAACATACCCGTCAGTTCTTTTGCAAGGTCTCCTAATTTCTGGAGACATTCCCTATTTGATTTGCTCTCTTTACTAGCGATTATTACAAACTCTCTCCATGACAAAACTCTGAAACAAAAATCAAGTTATTAACAAGATGAGTTTAATCCATTTCTAACTCTTATTGATTGTCCCCTACGACTTTTGTTTTTGTCCCTAAAAAAACTTAATCCTTTACTTTCACAAATAAGAGGGTTATCCACCTTACTTCTAAATTAAGGTTTTACAGGGAAGTTAAATTTAGAATAGTTATGCTATTATTAAGTGATGTTGAATACCAGAAATTTTGAATCTCAAAACCTTAAGGCAAAACTTTTTAGTGTTTTACTTAGCTGGTTACAAAGGTCAAGGTTACAAAAAATACAGGTAATAATAAAATGTTAAGTATGCAATCAAAACTAAAAGAGATCAACTCCTGACCCTGACATAACATAAATAATATGTAACTGATAATCTTAAAACCCAATCACTTACAACATAATTTTGTATAAACAACCAACATTAAAATAAATTTAACTCCTAACACCAACATAAATATGAATATTAGATTAGAACATATTATAGTGGCTAATATTTATTTGGGTTTAATAAACATTGATATGAAACTGAATTATACATCTTTCCAGTTATAGTTTTTACGATGCCTTTTGAAGTTCAGATTAGCCTACAATTTACTTCTTTCATTACTGTTAATGGTGATGTTTGTCTATTGTCATGAGCTTGTGAGGAACAGTGTTAAAAACAATAATAATGACACAAAATAATTTCAGCAGTTTCAAAAATCACTGCAAAAATCTTCAATTTCGAAACTTTTGAATCTCGAAACTCGGTGATCGAATCTCGAAACCGAAACTTTTCTTAAATTTTGATGGTTTTGAGATTTGAGATTATGTTTTGACACATCACTAGCTATTATATTCTGCATGTTACCATGAATTACTTCATGTTACCGTACATTTGTTTGGATTGTAAAGGCAATTACTTTTCAAACAAAATACCTACCATATAGGTAACATTACTCTCTGGATGAAATAGCCAAAAAGTTATTCTAAAAGTTCCATGACTAAAGTCTACAAAACCGAATTTGTTGGGTGACAAAATTAAACTTATTAAACCAAATAGGCCTATTATTTTTAAATCTTACCCAGAAAATTTAACTCTGTTTCTCCTGATAGCATCCAATGTGTTTGCTGCATAGTTGGGTTTGTGAGGAGATGCTAGATCAGAATGATTCCTGAACAGTGTTGATAATCTGGGCGAGTCCAAATTCATTTCCATATTTCTCTAAAAAATTTTAGATTGCACATCAGTTGATTTTTTTTTAGCACAACTGGATTACTATGAATAATTTTGTTACTTTCTTGTTAAGGGGAGCATTCATTATTATCGATGTTTTCTTTTCGATATTTTTGTTTACCTTTACGATCCATATTCCTTCTATTTTAATAAATTTAGAACTAATATTGTTTAGGCAAAAATAATAAATATGCATTAAGAAATGAAACTGTTCTAAACCAACCAACCTAATATAACTAAACAAACTTGCTGTATCATTTCTAAATTCCATTCGATAACAGAAAAGGCGTGTTGTGAATATCAAACGGAATTTTGAAATGTTACAGCAAGTTTGATTAGTTAGGTAAGGTTTGTTTGGAACAGTTTCATTTCAATATAATATTTTGTTAAATGTTTGTTGATACTGACTAATATTTATCCATCGTAGAAGTCAGCTGATATGTATCAATTTGTTAAAATCGATATATCAGATAGAAAAATAATATATCGATAGGCATACTTAAATCGAAAAGAAATCATCGATAATATAGGAAAGTATCGTGTTATGAGTATCTATTAAAAGGAAAGGAAAGTAAGTTACCTATTAATGAGTATCTAGAAGCCGACCACTCCTCAATAAAATGAAGTGACCTGCCGCCAAATTTTAATTTTAATCAAGATCTAAGAATTAAATTTCTCAGTTTTTTGCTGTAAATATATGTTTTGTGTAGTAATAGTATTGACGCCATCTATCCAGTTATACTGGTCAACGATGAAGAGAAAAGTATGAAGTATGAAGTAAGTAAGTAAGTATGAAGTATGTTACTTCACAAATGGGTGACAATGAATAGGCCCAGAATCAAGAAGCTTTATTTGCCATTAAATAACAGATTGTTACAATAATTAGCATCGCCAGAGCAAAAATACATCACAGTCAGTACAATCAGTCTTGGCACTTAAAGAGATTTTTTTACAATTACTATAACATCATTACATTTCTTAGGTAACAGCCTCATAACCTCTCTATTATTGAAGAACAACAACTGTGGTTCCTACTTAACTTAACTTATGGCTCTCAAAATACTTGTGCAATCTATTATTAGGTACCTAACACAATTACCTTTGTTTCTTGTATATAAGTTAATTGTCATGAATTGGAAACTGTTGATTAAAAAGTTAAAATGTTACATTTAACAAAAACAAGATAAATTTAGGTACTGTGATTGTAAATACAGGCAAGCGTTATTATACTTGTTACTTGTCTTCTTTATCTTTGACCGTGATTACCGATAGATAGGGTCAAATTTAATACATTGTAACTTACATGTAGGCTAGGTATGACCTATTAACTTAAACTGTGGGATTGTTACTCGAGTCTGAAAATTATAGCCTAGCTATAACTCTAAGAGCCTTTTTCTGTCATGAAAGCATTTACAGCAGAGGGTGAAATCCCCCGGAGCCGTATTACATTTAAATGCCTAGCCTAATAGATCTAGATGAAAAGACCATTATAGGCCTAAGTAAGTTTAGGTTACAAGCAAAGCAACACATTTCACTGACACAAAATGTTTTCAGTTATCACTGCAGACACCCTACTGGGCTAGGTTAGGTTATGATAGTTTTATTTTATAATAAAAATAACTTATTTAATAATATCGATTATTAATCAATATTTTCAATTCAATAGTTTCAATCAATATTAGCATAGCCCGGTTAAGAAACTGTACCCGGCTAGGCTACTTGACTAGGCCTAGACTGAATTGATTTAAGTAAGCTTACCTAGAAGGCTTAAAAGTTAACTTTACAGGTTTAAACAAATCTAATTTATCTTGACATTAGCCTACTGTGCAAGTGGGTGACATAAATAATTTGTGTTGCTTGTCTAATTTAGGTTAACTTAATTGAAATTTAATTTCAGTTTATTGTACAACCTAGGCCTAGGCCTGATGGGCTCCATTGCACAACATTGGAGTACTGGAGTAGGCCTTATCGGACTAATTCATAAGTTAGGCCTACTAAATTTTAAAGAAAAACGGAGTTGCTCCCATGCCTGTTGGATTGAAATGTAACAGCAGCATTATTATAATTTAAAACAACTTGAACTTACAGTAATCTTACTGAACCAGATGTAAACGTCAACAGTAAGCAAAAGCTTTACCAAGTCTATTAGGGCTTTAGAAGGGACTGAAGAAGCCAAGCTTTTACCTTTTTTTCTAGAACTCGGGTGCAAGATAATAATCTTTAAGAGAGATTTTTCAATCAGTAGCCTATAACTTTACAATTAATTGACTGAGGAAGGATATATTGAAAAGTTTTGAGGTTAGGTTGAACGAGAACAGAACAGGATCGCCGATCGGCTTCGGCTTCGTTCGGGGCTTCGGTTCAATTGGTTCGGCTCGGCGCTTCGGGCCGCTTCGGCTAGCGGAGTGGAGCAGCGGAGCGCTAGCGCTAGCATCGACAGTGACACGACTATCGAATCAAGTATCGACTATCGAGAGTTCGACTACCACCACCCAACCACCACCACCACCACCACCACCAAGGCCACACTACCACCACCGTCCACCACCAACCAAACCATACTGGGTGGGATACCCGGATACCGTAATATTTAAACCGATTTGAACGAACCAAACCAAGATCGATCTAGTACCGATACAAACAACAACTCGACCGAATACTCGGAACCTAGTTTTTATTGCATTTTATCAGGCTTTACTAAATGTCATGTAGCTTAAGACATACGCTACATGAAACTTTGTCGGTTGAACTCCTCCGCCATTTCTTAACCGATTTTATCCATTGACGTCTCATTGGAAAGAGCGTATCGCGTAGATTTGCAAACTGGGGCCCATTTCATAATAAACTACAAGTTACAAGTTACAACTTGTAACTTGTAATTTCCATTAGATTTGCATTGGGCGATCAGCTGATTTACTAATAATATTAGTTTGTACTTTATTATGAAATGGGCCCCTGGTCTTACATTTTTGAAAAAAGTCGCTTGGGCTCTGCCCCAGTGGCTTTGAAAGTTCCCACGTTATCCTTATGAAGAACATAATTGTTTACATTTTGATCAGCTGTAAATTGGTGTTATTTTATTTATCAATTCAATAAAACGCATTGCGTACATTTATTTATAGTACCTGGGGACCGAGCTTTGCTCGGGGAAAATCATTAGTTTACTCTGAAAACAGTCACAGTATTGCAGATACATAAATCCATTCCCAAAACTCCACACTGCTCGCCTTTACTTATTCCTTCAGCACTCCCTACGTCGTGGACCTGTTTTTCTCTCTTCCCATTGCATGTTAGGATTGCAGATACATTAATGTAATTGCCACAGACAGTTCCCACACTCTGCACTGCTAGCCTTATTACTTCCTTCACCACTTCATATGAATTGGAGCTGTTCCTCCCTTCCCATTGCATTTAAAGATTGCAGATACCTTAATCTAATCGTCATAAATAGTTCCCCACTCCGGACAGCTCGGCTTGACTACTACTTCCTTCAACACTTCCTACTTCACAGACCTGTTTCCCTCCCTTCTCATAGCATTTTAGGATTTGAAATACCTAAATCTAATCGTCATAAACAGTTCCCACACTCCGGACAGCTTGCCTTTACTACTTCCCTCATCACTTCCTACGTCACGGACCTGTTTCCCTCCCTTCCCAATCTTCCCATAGCATTTTATGATTGCAAGTACCTTAATCTAATCGTCATAAACAGTTCCCACATTCCAGACAGCTCGCCTTGACTACTTCCTTTACCACTTCCTACGTCACGGACCTGTTTCCCTCCCTTCCCATAGCATTTTAGGATTGCCAATACCCTTATCTAATTGTCACAAACGGTTCCCACACTCCGGACTACTCGCCTTGACTACTTCCTTCACCACTTCCTACGTCGCGGACCTGTTTCCCTCCCTTCCCGTAGAATTTTAGGATTGCAGATACCCTAATGTTACCGTAAAAAACAGTTCCCACACTCCGGACAGCTTGGCTTTACTACTTCCATCATCACTTCCTACGTCACGGACCTGTTTCCCTCCTTTCCCATAGTATTTTATGATTGCAAATACCTTAATCCAATCATCATAAACAGTTCCCACACTCCAGACAGCTCGCCTTGACTACTTACATCACCACTTCCTACGTCGCGGACCTGTTTCCCTCCCTTCCCATAGCATTTTAGGATTGCCAATACCCTTATCTAATCGTCACAAACGGTTCCCACACTCCGGACTACTCGCCTTGACTACTTCCTTCACCATTTCCTACGTCGCGGACCTGTTTCCCTCCCTTCCCGTAGAATTTTAGGATTGCAGATACCCTAATGTTATCGTAAAAAACAGTTCCCACACTCCGGACAGCTTGCCTTTACTAGGTACTTCCATCATCACTTCCTACGTCACGGACCTGTTTCCCTCCTTTCCCATAGCATTTTATGATTGCAAATACCTTAATCCAATCATCATAAACAGTTCCCACACTCCAGACAGCTCGCCTTGACTACTTCCATCACCACTTCCTACGTCGCGGACCTGTTCCCTCCCTTCCAATAGCATTTTAGGTTTGCAGATACCCTAATCTAATCGTCATAAACAGTTCCCACACTCTGGACTGCTCGCCTTTACTACTTCCTTCATCACTTCCTATGTCACGGACCTGTTTCCCTCCCTTCCCATAGCATTTTATTATTGCAAGTACCTTAAATTAATTGTCATAAACAAATCCAATACTCCGGACAACTTTCCTTGACTACTTCCTTCACCACTTCCTACGTCGCAGACCTGTTTCCTTCCCTTCCTATAGCATTTTAGGATTGCAGATAACCTTAATCTAATCGTCATAAACAGATCCCGCATTTCGTACTGCTTGCCTTTTACTAGGCCTACAATGTATCGAGCAATCTTCAGTATAATCTTTGCTCAATAGTAACAAGTGATGATTTCCCTTTTGTACTGTATTTGTAATTTGCTAGTATACTGTGGGTAGTTGCCTTAATGAACACATGCTTCAACTTCAAGTCGTTAGTTTACTTTTTCCTTGTTATTTAATTCAACCAACATGGTTACTTAGCAACCCATAAGACTAATGTTAAAAAAATGTGACTTTCAGTTTCGTTTTTCTACGTAATTAGATTTTTGTTGGCAGTTCTAACTGTATGAAACTCGTTTTTAGGCCAAAAATAAACTATTTACAAGATTTGAAGAAAATCGTCGGAGCCGTTTTCGAGATCTTTCTGCAAGCAAGCATACATACAAGCAAACATTGCTCGTATTAGAGTATAGGATTATTAATTTTGGGGGTCTTAAACAAACATAATTTTTAAAGGTAAATGTGCGATTTATTATTCGTTTTGCATCTAAAACAAGTTTTGAATTCTATTAATATGCGTGAACGGGTTGGCCTGAGTTACCTCGTTATAAAATACTGAACCTAATAAAATGTATGTGTGTAAGTTTATTTTAGGTATACTGAATTTCGTTCGCGTAATAACAATAACAGCTAGCCATGTCGGCAATTAGTTGTTAACATAACAGTTATATGGTGTGGTGATAATGCTGATAGCCTAATGTTTCATGACGCCTGCAGACGCATGACACTATATTGCAGCAGTAGTCATATTGCGTTGTATCCCAAAACGGCGTCTTTCAGCTCAACTAACCTACGCTACCCGCTCTAACAGTACTAGAGTATTAGTCCACTGTCAAATGTACACCCGTGTGCTCTTTGATGAGGCAGGTGTGGGAGTAGTCTTAATCTCTTCGTTTGACCTTGGAGAAATACAATTTCGATGGTGGCACTCTTGAAAATGGTGCGTTTGAACGCTGTGGGTAAAAAAAAAATGGCCGCCATTTAAATGTTTAAAGTCAAATTCTATGAAAACCCGCTATTAAAACAAAATTTTGTAACACATTACTTAAAGTCCTTTTTATTACAAATAGAATGACACTTTATTTGCAAAAATCGGATAATAAATAAAAAAGTTATGTTACTTTTATTATTAATAGTAATTATCAAAATGGCAGTCATTTTGAAATCACAAAGTTAAATTCCATAGAAACTAGTGACAAAAACATAATAAAAGTTACATAACTTTTTTATTTATTATCAGATTTTCGCAAATAAAGTGTCGTTCGATTTGTAATAAAAAGGAATTTACAATACTGTGTTTCAAAATTTTGTTTTAATTGCTGGTTTTCATGGAATTTGACTTTAAAAAATTTTAATGGCCGCCATTTTGAAATTCGATGAGCCTGATCAACGATTTTTTCGGAGAACGTTTTTAGTTGTAGACTGAAAGATTATACCAAGTTTCATAAAAATATCTCCAAGAGTTTTTGAGTTATGAATTATTTTCAAAAAATACAAAATGGCGGATTACGGCTAAACTAAGCCGAAATCGAAAAAAATGTTATACTAAATTTTCGACTTATTTTTGCACATAGAATCTGGATCTGCATAGCCCGTTACGCTTTACTGAAACACTCTTTATTTCTTTTTGAAATATTTAACTGTCCTGGGACCTTACTTCCACCCTGATTAATTTATTTATGAAAAATATAAAATTACGTTTTATGAAAGAATGGTGTATCCTACATAAAAACTTTAATAATCTTTTTGTGCAGATTTAAAATAGCTACATTTTGGTATCAACAATTCTTTCATAACTCTAACGGTTACTGGTATAAGTAAGAAAAGAAGTTTGCGACGGCGGCCATTTTGTTTTTTTCCTACAGCGTTCAAACGCACCATTTTCAAGAGTGCCACCATCGAAATTGTATTTCTCCAAGGTCAAACGAAGAGATTAAGACTACTCCCACACCTGCCTCATTAAGGAGCACACGGGAGCCTGTATATGTACATTTGACAGGGGACTATATATTGAATTTTAATCAATTGAGCTTTTTCCATTGCTCATACAAACTTAATTCGATTTATTTTAAGGTATTTGTTGGAAAACTTCTGGATAATTTGAAAATCGTTTTAGCTAATAACATTCCTATCCACTAGTATGTTTTAGTTTGCCATCGGTGGAAAATCATTTAAAAAGACGTGAATATAGCGTGGTTTCGCTTCCATTATTGAGTCAATTGAATTATTCAATTGGATCAATAATGGAAGCAAAATCATATTAATAAGGAATTTGTCTACTTTGGAGGTCTGCAGCTATTGGAAATGTTTACAATGTCAAGATTGTATATTTATTTAATCTTTAAACATTTAGTCGGCAATTTATGATAAAAATCATGTTCAATATATTTTCACGACATTTTTAATTTGGGTTTTTAAAGAACCGATTTAAATTAGTAAATAGCAAGTAAATATGTTTT